ATTACCCAAATCCAAACAATTGCTCTCTTCTTATAGCCTTCAATTACCAGAGGAAATTAAATCCCCGCATGGCAGAATAAAATGCCAAAGAACAGCCAGCAAAAGGATAAAATAAGTGAGGACAGAAGTAGAGTATAAAAAATGCGTATGCAAATATTGTAATAAATGTAAATTTAAATCTTTACGCTATGTATTATATACAAATTCTCAAATATACGGTAGGAGGAATAACTTTGCAGCCACGGTTATCATGCTAGCTTATGGCCATTAATCTAATCATAAGACATTTGAATTAATACGGAAAAGCAATTCCACACAAATAAGTTCATTTCTCTAATGCAGAAGACTGTATTGATCATGTCAATCCCCCCACTCATTATAATAACTATTTCTACTGTAGTCCGATTGTAGTGGGGAACTTGGGCTTCTCCAATCTTGTAGGAGACTGATGTGAAGGCGAGGGTGATACCAGTTTCAACCGTTATGGTAAATATGGCTTAATTAAACTTGACATCAAAATAATTATATTTAAACACAGAAACTAAATATGGTATATATGAGTTGTGCTTTTTAGTTAGAAAATTACATAATATCTTTACTCAAGAGCAAATTGATAAATGTTTTAAATCAAATCTAAAGTTGATATGATTATTGTTACTAATTTGATTATGCGAATCTAAATTTTATTTTTAATAATTTAAATTATATCTTAGATGGTGGATTTTCAAATTATCTTATGATATATGTGTCTTTGGGTACGTTGTTGGTTGACTTTGCTGAAAATTTTAGGCGTTTGCAGGGCATAATAATAACTGAAGTGGCTTCATTTCCAAACGGCAACTGAGTTATGAGGGCATGAGAATTCTCCTTTTAGAAGCAATATATAATATTTAACCTAATTAGTTTGGTAAGAGGTAACCGTTCAGGCATCTGGCTAGTTTTTTTTTTTTTTTTTAATAGCTTTGAAAGCTGAGATTCATTCCCTCAAGGCTCAAGCTTTATATGTATGTTCTCACATGTTTCAACTAATTTCAAAACAATTATTAAAACTCAATTATTTCTGATGTCCTGTATTCTTATAAACTTTATTTGCCTAACCAAAAATGCATGGCATTAGACACTGATAATACATGTGAGTACTTTGCGATCGAATCTCAGTAGCTTCCAATAAGAATGGTCCATACAACAAGGTGAGGTGTCATCTATGGCCATGTATCATCAAGAATAATTCAGAATAAAGAAGAGAAGGATCTAAAAAATGGAAAAGAAGTAAACAAAAGCGAAAGAAACAACCACTTCTTCTCTGATACCACTAGCCAGCTAGAGCACATTTCTCATGTTTCTGTAACACCTTTTTCCCATCACGCAAAGTGTGTTAGCTAGCATATATCCTTGCCCTTTCAACCTCTTCTTACCTGCTACAAAGATGCCTGATTCATTGTCCACCTCTGAAAAAATAAACAGCTTTTTCCCTACTTCTTTCCCAAATCCCTCTCTTGGTCTTCTTTCCCAATTAAGTGCTAACCTTTTGTCATTTTCCAGCTGCTGACCCACATTCATGAATATATAAGCATCACAGGGGCTTATATATTGTGTGTTAATTCAAAGCTATAATAATATTGGAAATATGGGTTGGAATATTCCTCTGGTCCCAACTTGAAAAATGGTGTAGGATCTTCTCTACAAAGAACCCATTCCACTAACATCCCATTCCCAACTTTAGCTTCTTTTATATGTGATCTATAAATGAATCATTTTGATCCTACCTCAAACTATGATTATCACTTGTCGTTGAGCATTTATGGGACGATTAAATTACATCTGTCTACTTCAAGAGTAACCACCAATCGTAGAGCTATCATGGGTGCACCTTCAAGTTGGGAATTGGCAAATGGGCTGCTCTTCATGAATCATGATAGTATCCACTGGCAACACATTCAGGCAATGAAAAAAAACAAAACAAATTGAACCCAACATGAAGTTGCAAGTTGTCTGTTTCCTTAGTCAACGGACTAATTTTTCTTGTTATGCATGTAATATGCTTTATATTCCTGGAAGAGGGTTTCTAAATTTTAACAGATCAGTCACCATTGTACAGATTTTGTCTCTGCAAAATCCGGGCACAAACATTATGTTTTGATGAATACTTAGTAAGGTTTTCTTCAGTTTGGATGAATTATTCTCGGGGCATATGTTGTCAAAGGCTCATGGAGGATCAGTACAGTAGATATTGACATAATACCGTGCCCTTCCAATTCCTAATGAATGAACCTCCTTTTCCACATTCCTGTGGTGAAATCTATGTCGAGTTGTCCCATATATTTTTTCTTGTCAATTTCCTTCTTTATTTTGACGACACTTCCTTTCGGAAAATTCATTAGTGATCTGTCTCTTTCCTCTAAAAAAGTAGAGCATCAACTTGAGAGAAATACGTAAGGAGGTGATCAATCTTTATCATGCATATATAAAGCTCGGCAACATATACATAAATTGTAGCTTAATAATTGATAACTAGCAAACAGTTAGTCAAAACAAATGACTAAAAATAAAGTTCAATGAACAAAACATGTCAATAATTGCATGTTCAAAGCAGCTGCCAAGAACATCCTGGAATATCTGAATAATTTTTTTTTCTGCTAAAAGAAAGAATATTGAAGAAAGCCAGAAAGAGACGAAAGATAAAGGTCAATGTAATGCAAATCAAGATAAGGGAAAAGGAAACGGTTTTTGTGGATTTGTTCATGCAACTGAAAAGGGAATGTGGGGTTCTAAGAGATTTGTTTGTCCTTGATTCCTCATTTATTATCCTCTAAAATCTAAATTAAGGGAGAGATCCTCTCCACTGCTAAAAATTAGTGGAGATCTCCACTGTTTTTTTAAATATTAATCTAAGGTCAATAGTAATCCACATCATCATTCTTAATTAATAGCACCAAATCGTATAGTTTTATTAAACTTAACGACGTTTACCATTTTCGGTGGCATCATAATTTCAATGTTGAGAGAGTTAATTTAGATTGAATGAAATGTTTCATATTATCATTATCATATTTTAATATAAATCTAGTTGAATTTGAGTATATGTTTTTATCATTATGTAGATTAAAACGGTGTAGAGCAAAAGAAAATAGATCAAGGACTCAAACTAACTCAAAATAGTCCAAAATTAATTTATAAGAATAATGTGTTAAAATTTCATTGAGACATTTCATCAGACATTACATAATCATCATCCTTTACGCACGCAAATACAACATTGGATTGCCCAAGAAACACTCTGCGCCAAAATATAACAAAATTTGTAAGATCCTCCCCCTAAATATAGATCTCGTAATTTGTATTTTTGTGTTGTGTCTATTGTGTGTTTGACACATGTGATGACATGAATTATGAAAATACTAATACGACATGAATTATAAAATGTGTTTAAATTTTAAACATAAAAATGATAAATTTAATATACGTGTTACATACTACACAATATGATTATTATGTAAATAATTAATTCATTTAAATATGACACGAATAAATATAATTAATATAGATATACACAAACAGATATGATAACATAAATATATACAAGAACACGATTAAAATAATAAATAATTATAAATTATCCATAATTTATAACTTAATAAATTTGACATATTAATAATATAAAAAAATACTTACATATTTAAAATATAAAAATTTTTAATATTCATTTAATATATATTTAATATATATATTTAAATTTGAATTTATATTACATAACTATATTAACTTTTAGTACCAAATTCAAAATGATAAATTATTAAAGATTAAAAAATAAAATAATAATGTATAGGATTAATATTAATATTATATTTATATTATTAATATAAAAAATAATTTTATAATAATTATTAAATGATTATCATAATTAAATGTTTAAAATAATTTTTATATGAAAAATAGCTAATTAAATATGATAATTAAAAAAATTAAAAATTAAAAAAATCTTTACATGTTTATATTAAATTAAAATAAATATAAAAAATATGTTAAACATGTTGAATATATTAAATGTGTACTCATAAAATAAAATAAGATTAAATTAAATGTGTTATTCGTATTGTGTCACGTATTTAGATAAGTTAACACATATGTAATACGAATTGTGTTATATCAAAATTCGTGTTAATATATATAAACACGAAATACGTTTTTTTAAAACACATATATAATTTTTTTATATAATTTTTTATTATATCATCATATCATATCTAAAATTATCATGTCTATCTAAATTAAATGTAGAAGAAAGTTTATTAACCATTCCTTAAATTGAAAGTCCAACAGAAAAATCCACATTTCTTTACTAGGCCGGCCATGTATCATCATCATGGATTTCCCAACAACAAAAATTCTCCACCCATTTTTAGGCCCACTTTTAAAAGCACAACATTGGGTTGGGACTTGGGATCATTACCAAGACAAGATTACATCACTAAAAAATTCTAGGAAAAAGGAGCCAAAAAATAGAGAGAAACTTTTAATAAAGAAAAATCATGCTGCTGTTAAGACTTTGACATTGCTGCTTTAATGATTTTTAACCAAAATAAACAAAATTTAAAGAAAAAGGTGGCACTGTCCTGAGAACCAATAAAGCCACCTTAAGTTGAGCAAAATTAACGTGGTTTTCTTTTTTGGGGAGGGCCTCATCTGGTCGATCGGTACCAACCGATTTAAAGGTTGGAAACTCATAATCAAGTATCAATCCAATTGACTTGAATTACGTTATTGGGCCTACCAGAATCAAATTGGGGCCTTCAACTCTTCGGTTCATTGAAAACTTATGTACTGGGGCAATAAAAGCCGACACAAGATTTTTTTTTCTTAAAAAGTTTGTTTGTTGCTCAAAATGGAATAAAATAAAAAATATTGGTCTATCTCTTCTTGTACTTTTTTTAAAAAATTTTAAATATAAATTAAAATTATATATGGATTTGTAAAGGAAAATAAATAAAGGCAGAAAAGCTTGAGGAGTCCAACTGAAATCTTTGTAAGTTGGGGAGTCAATGTAGAGGTGGGGTACCAAGCAAAATCAATCTCACCGTCAGATTGTCTTCCGCAAAACCTTTTCAAACGACAGCGTTTTACAACTCAAACAAGCCCCTGTACCTCGTCTCAGAGAATCCAAAACCGCTACCTCACCCCTCTAAAACAGTATTTTGAATTTTAAATTCTTCACCGTCACCATTCTTCTTTCCTTTATTTCCCCCACTGCTTGTTCAATTGCCGCTCTCTCTCTCTCTGTTTCTGTTTCTCTTTATCCCAAATTTAGAACAAAATAATAATAATAATAAATGTAATAAAAAAGAGGGTTTTTGAAATTCCATTTTATTCTATCAAAATTCAAAAACCGGTTTAGTTTAAATTTAGACTTTAGTGAAGTGAAGAATTTCTTTTATCTTTTGCTTCAAAGAGTTCAAAAAGATACCGCTTGTTCTCTTTCACCTGCTTTTCCTTTTTTTTTTTTGTGTGTGTTTTCACTTCAGGTAACTTTTCTTTACCTCTCTTCTTGGTTTTCTTATTGGATTTTCGTTTCTCCAACAATTTACGTCGTCAATGGAAGTACACAGAAGAAACTGATTTCTCTCTGTTTTTTCGTTTTAAGTTTCTTCATTTTAGTTGTTAGAGAAGTGGAATAGAGGAGAGATGCATTTTACTTAGTCCTGTACTTAACAGCTGCTTAAATGCCAAAAGAAACATTCCTTTTTTTAATTTAAAATTTAAAGTTACTTGATTTTAACACCTTTTGGGAATATGTTAATTTTCGCTGAGGATTTTGTAGAAATGAAAATATTTCGTTGAACTTTTCGGTTTAAAGGTCGAGTTTTAACTAATTGTCTTCATCTCATCTCATCAAAACGGCAAAATATCGGTGTTTTTGGAGCTGTATTGGCTTTTTTATGGATTTTGTCGAGTATCGATATTGCTTTTTCCGTATTTTTGTAGATTATTACCGCTGTAAATTACTTTATATCTGATTTATTATGGTAGATAGTTTTGCATTAATTTTTTTCTCTTCTGGTTGAGAAGTCGTTATTTCTCTTGTTTTAATGTTAGTGTTGTTTGCAGTTAAATTATAACTAATTTTGTTTTGCAATAACAGTTGAAAACTGTTTGACTTCGCTCCAAGAGGCGGGAAAAATCCTTCAATATGGAGCAGTATGAAATTCTAGACCAGATTGGGAAAGGGTCTTTTGGTTCTGCTCTTCTTGTGAGGCATAAACTTGAAAAGAAGAAGTGAGATTACTTGCACCACTATTTCGATCTCTGACTATTGTTCAAATTTCAGGGCTCACATCTGTTTGTGCATGTGCTCTTTGTGTGTGTGTGTGTGTCTAAATGCATGAATTGAATTGTGCCATATTTGTTTCATTTGGTTGTTTGCATATTTAATTTCATTGTGAGATTGTGTGGGATGGGGTGGTTTCTTTTATGTTTATTATGTCAATAGTAGCCTACATTCTTCTTTCCCTTCTAGGTACGTCCTGAAAAAGATTCGCCTTGCTCGGCAGACTGATAGGTCTCGGAGATCTGCCCATCAAGAGGTCAGTTCTTTTTATGTGCAATGTGAAGAAAGCTTTCATGTCGCTTGGCTTTCTGAAAAGCCGGTCGATATACGAAAATAATTTCTCTCTATTTGGAGAAACTATCAAGATTAGGAGCAATTTTTGAAATGAAAGATATGCTTGACCCGTTGGTAATGTTTTAAGTAAAAACATCTAAGGTGGCAGATCTTTGGACCGAGATATGTTGTTTATGAATATTTGGATACTTGACACTTATATTATTTGTATATTTAAATATATTCTTGTTCCCCTGCCTTTTCTTCTTTTTCCATGATTGGCATCTTTTATACTCCAAAATTGTGCTCCGTTGTTCAAAGAAATAGTACAGTGTTAAAATGCTCTTTTGTTTCCTATGATTCAGATGGAGCTTATTTCTAAGGTGAAGAATCCATTTATTGTGGAATACAAAGATTCTTGGGTAGAGAGAGTGAGTGGATGGTGTTTTCTTTTTCTTTTTATTCTGCCTCATGCTTCTTTGATTCATAGTTTTCATACTTCTTTTTAATTCATTATATGCATTATTAATGAATCTGTCCACTGAATGTTGTTGCTTATTTTATTTTGCAGGGTTGCTATGTTTGCATAATTGTAGGATACTGTGAAGGAGGAGATATGTAAGTTACGTTTGTTATTTAAGTGGGATTTTGAAATTATTTAGCAAATGGGAACTGCTTAGGGCGGGATTTGTTATTTTGCACTTTCTTCTTCTGCAAATTGACATTGCTCATTATACAGGGCAGAAGCTATAAAAAGAGCCAATGGTGTTCATTTCTCTGAGGAGGTAGTGAAACTTTTGACCAACTTTGCAAGGACTTAGTTATCTACAATACTTCAAAACGTAAATTTTGTTTTTCTACTTGATAAATTATACACAGAAACTTTGCAAGTGGCTAGTTCAACTCCTAATGGCACTTGATTACTTGCATGCCAACCATGTTCTTCACCGTGATGTCAAGGTCAGTGGTAGTTCTCGGTGAAGATTGGTCAGTTTAACGTACGCAATTTTAGGCTTACGGCATTCTAAGCTATAATTTTGTTTCAGTGCTCAAACATATTTTTGACAAAATATCAAGACATACGTCTAGGTAATCAGTCCTCCTTTATGCCTAATTTTCCTGATTTACTTTGCTTACCATGTTTCAGTTTCACCTGTGTCTAGCATTCTGTATTTTAAACTTAGGCGTTTTGGTCAGTTTCTAAGATGTGTACCTGTGCAGGTGATTTTGGTCTTGCTAAAATATTGACTTCTGATGACCTTGCTTCATCTGTGAGTATCAGACAGATGGTATGGCTTTTATACAGTTTCACCATTTGCTTTATTTTAAGACTATTGTTTTTTGCTCTAAATACAGGTTGTGGGAACTCCTAGTTATATGTGCCCTGAGATACTTGCCGATATACCTTATGGTTCTAAGTCAGATATTTGGTCTTTAGGTACCTTCAACTATTGAAATTTTAAGAAAATCTGAGCTGGATTGCTTTTCCCTTCCCCCTTCCCTATCTCTATTCGGCATATATCTAATGTAATAAAATTTTCAGGATGCTGCCTCTATGAAATGACTGCTCACAAACCTGCATTTAAAGCTTTTGTAAGTTGCTGGTCTGCTTTTAACTAAGATATTTACTCTTTGCCACCTCTTGGCATGATCAGAGTCATAATTTTGTTGGAATGTGTAATTTGATGAACTGGTCACTGCTAACCATTTTCCCATTCGGTCGTTCTTGATGGACTAAAAATGAGCATCTAGTTATTGAGTCCTATGAAATTCGAAATGATTGTTCATGCCAGTGCTGGCGTTAAAGGATTCAGTTGTTGTACAGTTTAAAAGCATCTAGGTATCTGCGTCCACATATGTTGAAGAAGCAAATTGATCATCAAGGATTCTTTCACAGTAATATGGATTATCACCTTAGACTCATCATAAAGTAGCACCTGATCTTGAGATCCCAGTGTTAAGCTGAATGGCTAAATTAGGTTGTGAGATGATAGAATCACATTTAAAGATATATGCTTGTTTTATATGCTACTTGTAGGACAAGGAACGATTCCATGTCCATGGATATTACATATCCATTCAATGGCTGCCATCCTTTTGCATTTGGTTAACCCTAACGGTAGCTACTGTTTCTGTAATTTTATCAGGATATGCGAGCTCTGATTAACAAAATAAATAGGTCTATAGTGGCTCCTTTGCCAACCATGTACTCTGGTGCATTGTAAGCCTCTATCCTCTTTATGCATATCAATGTCACGTTCCAAATACAATTTGGCTTTTTTAAATATCATGGAATCTCATCATACTGCAGAAATATTCATAATCATTATGGTTATCTCTATTGTTGCATTCAGCCCTTATCAACATTGCTTTCCTGTCTAATTCTTTTCCCTTGCTCCAGTCGATCACTCATAAAAAGCATGCTACGGAAGAATCCAGAACTTAGACCAAGTGTATGTTTCTTTCCCCTTCTTGTTTAATCTTACACTGCTTTTACAGACATAAGTATGAGGAGATATCCTCAAGAGGAATAACATGTTTTAGAAAAAATAGTACTTGGACTTATTAACTAGTATTTTACTTTTGGTAATAGGTCATGTTATAAATAATTGAGATTAGGCTGACAGATATTGGTTTTCAAGAAGTTATTGATGTTGATCCTTTCTATGTATATTAGCATGAAAGGAAAATTTACAACTCTTGCTTGAATCAACATTTCATTTAAAGAAGATTTGGTATTCTCTTAAACTTTGAACTAGTTGCCTTAAAGTTAAGATGTTACAGAGGTCAAAATTCATAAAAATAATAAAAAAAAAAGCATGTTGTATATGTCAGACATTTTTTTTGGTACATTAGCTTTCTTGATTGAAATATGGTTTTCCCAAACTTATATCCTTCAACTTCTTTTTCTATAAACTAAAGCACCTCACTAAATGAAAATGTATTCAGGCTTCAGAGTTGCTCACTCACCCACATCTTCAGCCGTATGCCCTCAAAATTCATCAGAAATTGAATAGTCCTTGTTGCACCAGTTTCCCGGCTCGATGGTCTGATTCCAACTTCATAAAGAAAACTAGATTTGTGGAGCAAGATGTTATGGTTCCTAGTGACATAGGGAGAAGACGGTCATTCAGCAATGACAGGGCTTTGAACCCCAGTGTATCTGAAACAGAACAGGACTTCTTCAGCTCTATTGGGAGAGAGCAAGAAATTCCAAGTTATTTGTTTGAAAAATTCACAGAATTTTCTGTTGGTATTGACAATGAAGAGATTACAATTGACAAGTCAATAGCTACAAAGTTTCCCACCGTTGCTAAGACTCCAAAATTGACGCCAGCAGTGTCTATCACTCCAAGGAAACATACCACACCAGCAAAGATATCCGAGACTAGTCAAAAACATGATTCGGTGCGTTTCATATTTCTCCATATCTGTGTTAAATAGAGGAACTGATCTTCATTCTTTGGTGCATTGAGAGTAATGTGGAAATATCATTCCTCAAGTTCCCTATTTTTCAAATTTCCAAGTGATTGAGAGTGAGACTTTCATACTTCATTAATTGTTTTTTTTTTTTTTTATGTTTCCTGAAATGTTTTGATCCGACTTCTTGACCAGTGAAACTAGTGCGATTGCGAAAAGCTTATAATCCTACATTGTCGTGCTTCTCTATGATAAGCATAGTAGAAAACTTTTCTTTGTCCACAAATTATAAGGCCTAGTCTAGCTTCCTAGAAGATAGCTCTCTGCTTTTGTTCTTTTCATCTCGTGTATCACGTATTTGTTTCATCTTTCCTTTAATGTAAAAATTGTGTTTAATTCTTGAACTCCCTCACGTTCATCCATTATCTAGAGGATTTCCTGAGCGTATGTGTGCTTAAAATATAGTCAAGAGTATTGGAAACTGAGAAATCATTAAATTCTGTGATGACTGGAACTAAATATAAGTGGAAACCTTGGCCATTTTCTTCTGTGTTGGGCATGGAATATTTCTGTGAACTGAGAATGATAATTTTTCAATGGTTAATTTTGCAACATGTTGAGTTCTGGGTGCATATATACTTAGCCTGCTAATATGTACAGGCTCTAGCAACACAAAAGCCTGCAAGAAAATCACCCTACTACTCATCACGCAGAGTATCTCTTCCGTTGCCAACAAGGACTGCAACCTTGGTGATCCCCTATAGAGCCAATGCCGGTATGCTTCGCAGCGTGGATGTTTCCGTTAATGCCCCACGAATTGACAAAATTGCAGAATTCCCGTTAGCTTCTTCTGATGATCCCCTCTTACCCATCCGTGGAACCTCATCGACTTCTGCAAAGTGCTCCTCTTCATCAATCGACAGTGCTGACTGTTCTATAACAAAGGACAAGTGTACGGTCCAGATTCTGGACAAAGTTGTCACGACATCGAATGGAAGTGATCAAAGCCTTGGGGTTGTACGAGGTGGTAGCGAAGGCTCGGAACATAATCGTGCTGCTGTATCCACTCATTCATCTTCCGAGTCACGACAGCGGCGGTTCGACACCTCATCGTACCAGCAGCGAGCAGAGGCATTAGAAGGGCTGCTCGAGTTCAGTTCACGTCTCTTACAACAACACAGGTATGACGAGCTTGGGGTGCTGTTGAAGCCATTTGGACCAGAGAAAGTGTCTCCCAGGGAAACTGCCATCTGGTTGGCTAAGAGCTTCAAGGAGACCCGAGTCTAAGCTAAAATACTAATTGCTCTGCTAATGATGCTGCCACTTGTACATAATTGACGCTACCCCTTTCTTTTTCCTGGTACTAAAATTAGGATGTCTTCTTACTCGAAGACAGAATGGTGATTCTTGATGTGGATTTGGATCTTTGCATTAAACCCTCCAAAAGTGTGGTTGTGCGTTTGAAATATGTTATTCACTGCAGAATCATTTGAAGTTCAGCTGATATAATATACTTGATCAGAATATCAAAATCCAGATTTTGGAAATAAATTGGATTTCGGGCCTGGGCCTGGACCTCGACCATGGACTTTTGTTTTTGGAGGATAGAGATCTTCCGAGTTACACGTCGATATCTTATGTTTTGTCCTCTGCTCGTATTGCTTGAAATTTTCGATTTAAAACGAGGATACGATTGAAGTGTCGGATTCTTCACTCGCGGGGACACTAAGACTGAGTAGATGAAAGAAAGATGGAAGGATCAGAAATTCTAGAACTCTACGAAATTCAATATTCAGATCTCGTGCTCCTATCATCATCATTATCCTCATGTTCGCATCAAGAGGAAATGATAATGGAAAACCTGGGCCCAACGGGCCCAGGTCTCCTCGCTATTGCAAACGTTCCCGACGTTTCTCTTCTCCGACGAAAGCTTCTTCATCTCTCTCGTAGGCTGTCTCTCCATAGGCCCGAAGATCGCAAACGTATTCTCAGAGTAATTTCAACGAACATTTTATTCGCTTTGCCTTTTTTTTATCAGCCATAATTAGCTTCAATTCTCTCTTCTTTATGTGTGGCGTGTGCCTTTCTTTTCGTTCCTAGAGTCTAAGTATTTGTTTCCATGCCTTTGCTATGGTATAAACTTATTGGATTGGAAGCTTTTAATGTATAACAATTTTGCATTTTCAATTCCAAAGCAAAAGTATATTAACAGCTTTCTTCTCCTATAAAAGTACTGTTCAATTATATATATTTTAGTTTTTTTTCCGTTTAATCTTTTTGATGTTGTTTATCGTTTTTCGTTGTCCATGTTTTCTTTGTTTAAGCTATGTTTAGGAGCACAAGTTGGGGAGTGATGTTCCATTGAAAAACCCAGACAGGAATGCCTCCTCTTTCGCAATGCAGCTTAAATATGCTCATGGCCCTGAATCCATTGAAACTAAACCAAGTCATAGAGTAGATAGCCATTTGAATTTGGAAAATGTAAATATTGGTAGTACCAGTGACTTTCAGGATGACGGATTTGATGATCTTGAGAATATGTTCAAGGCGCTAGGATTTTGCATGATGGAGCTAGGGCTTTGTCTTGCTCGAATATGTGATAGGGCCATTGGAGGCAATGAGCTTGAGCAAAGCTTATTGGATTCATGTGCAGCAAAAGGGCGCCTTATACATTATCATTCAATGGTAGATAGCCTTGTTCTTAGAGAAGATGGTCGAAGGAAGGGATCAAGTAAAAAACATGCTAATAATCATGCAAGGAGTGAGCAAAAATTATCGAAAGGCGCTAACTTAGACACAAATGGTAATGAAGTTAGGCCATGTGAAATTCATCCCAACCTTTGGCAACAGTGGCATTATGACTATGGTATCTTCACTGTTCTAACTGATCCCATGTTTCTTCTGTCCTCACAACAAACAACAGCAAACACTGAATTTCCCATTTCTAGTGATCAAGAATGTGCTTCGCCAAGTGGGCATTCATACTTGCAGATTTTTCACCCTAACAAGAATAAAGTCCTCATGGTGAAGTCCTCTCCTGAAAGTTTCATTGTTCAGGTTGGAGAATCAGCAGATATCCTATCCAAAGGAAAGCTACGGTCAACCCTTCACTGTGTGTGCAGACCAGCAAGGTTGGAAAATTTAAGCAGAGAAACTTTTGTTGTGTTTTTGCAGCCAGCATGGAGTAAAACTTTCTCAATCTCAGATTATCCTATGGAATATTTCAAACCAGGCTGTCAGCCTTTGGAGGAAGCTGAGGAAAATAACTTTGTTGATCAGGACCAAAATGCACTAACTCGAGAATTTCAAAAGACAGTTCCACCACTTTCAGCACGATTGAAGGATGGGATGACATTTGCAGAATTCTCACGTGAAACTACCAAGCAGTATTATGGTGGCAGTGGTTTACAGTCTAATAAATGATTACTCATTTGATGTCTTTTTTCTGTATGAATATAGGATGTCCATGTTGGTAGGGCGCAGTCTTTAATCATGTAGACATCTTTAGTAGAGTTTTAAATCTCCTATTTTTTCTCACATTGAGATTTATTTACTCTTATTTGTTCCCACTATTTATGCTACCTTCTACCTTTTGTCATTGACTTTTTAGCTCACCTGCTTCTTTTCCAACATAGAAATGTAGTTGTTGATTTGCTTTAGTGAATTAATGTTTACTTTTGCCCTCTGGAATTGAGTCAATTGATGTCTGTGCTTAACTTATGCTCACACCATTTCTTTCCTGCACAATTGTTAGCTATTTGTCAGCTAAAGGCCACAATGAAAAATTATTAGGTCAAAAATACGGAAACAGTTAGAAGCATGAAAGGAAGATTTCTGGCATTTTTAAGTGTTGAATCTTAGCATCCGCTACCATTTAACAGGTAACATTCTGATCTGTTTAATTTGTTATCCTTCCTTTCAATTGTTTAAATTTGCTTTCAATCTTTGGCTCATTTTTGTTAAATTATAAATTGTTAGCAGAGTCCTTCAGATCAGGGGACACCTTAATAGTTCAAATTTTAAACTTTTAAGGCTTGAATCTTGAGAGTGAGAAATGAGTTTATGATGTGGGAAGGGTTCCCTGTCATTAAGTAGCTCAAGGCTTAGTGGTGTTTTATCTTCAAGAAACTAAATTCGAATTGGATGATCAAACGGCATTGTCATTGGTGATTCAAGCTTGATCATTCGTGTTTTTTCGTATATATGAGAACTGGTTATAGATCATTCATTTGGATGCCACATCTAAATCTTTGCGTCATGTAAGTTTTATGGTGGTGCTATACTTGCTCATTTGCCTATCATTTCTACTAAGTGCTCGCTATATGCCACTTATTCAGCCACAAGAAATAAGGTAGCAACATACCATCGAGCGGGAATTAGCAAATTTTGTTGGCTGGCTGAAGGACAGGGAACATACTGACTGTTGGGACGGTTTGGAGAGCGACTGATGATTGCTCTGTTTATTACAGCAGTGAAGGAATGAAATTCAAAATCTGTTATTGTTTGTTATTATCTACCGGGTAAGTATTACTACTATTACCACCTCATGCAGAAATACTAGCCACAAATAGAATGTTATCTCTCTCACGCTCTGCTTGTGCACAATGAAAAACTGATTGCTCGTGGTTAAATGAGTTATTTCAAACAGCTATTTACTGCTGAGTGATGACATGAACAGTGCTTTTTCTGACATCCAAGCCAAGTGGGACTGATCGGGCATTCTGAACCAAGGTGAAAGTTTAGTCTTAATGCCAAAACCAGGTGCAGGAATAAAACAGGGAGCCTTTGTGCTTCTGGACATTGGCTTTTGCTTGCTATAGTTGGGCTTGTGTATGTCTGTTGTTTGCAGTGTGATCGTGTCTTTTAAGTTTTATACTGCTGTACCATGGTTTTGGCTCTTATCTTCCTGGCTAATGCCTACAAGTAAAAGAGTAAAGCACACGGCTTGATGTCTTTTTGATTTCCACGGTTTGACGTTGCTTTACCTCGTATATTAATTTTAGAAAAAAGATGGAGAATTAAAGTTGGCAGGGTGACTCCATACATTTTTAAAAGAGTCATTTATCATATTTGAAATTTAAATTTAAACATTTCTTGTTACTTTCTCTTAGATAACGTTTTTTAACAAGAAAAAAAATAGTGACGACTCAAAGCGAAGTTGAGCTAAACAATGGTTTCCCATTAAATGTTATACGTTTAGCATCATGAATTAAAGTAGTTAGTTTACTTGAAAGAGAACTTAGCATCCATAAAGTTCTAAGAGGGAAGTTGCATCAAAGGGTGAGTTAGTGATCGGCCCTTTTTGTAAAACAGTAACTCGTTGTGACAAAAGAACCCAACAAAATTTAGAACCAAGGTTAAATTTGAGTGTAGGCCTCAGAATAAGATTACATCTTGAATGTTTTTTTTTTTTAAAATCCAACTTTTGTAAACCAGGCATTTCCCTTTTGGAAATAAATAATAAATGGTTTAATGAAATAAATGCAACTTGAAGGGAACTTATTCAAAATGTATGATGCAAAGGGAAAACGAAAGGTGGTATTTGATCATTTGAGAAAACAAGGCAAAAGAGTTTGTCTCTTTAGCAAGCTGTTACTCTTCTTCTCTTCGTTTCGCTTTTGGCTCAGAAAAAAATAAAAAACAAAATGGGGAAATATGTACCTTTGTAAGGAAATGTAGACCGTAGATGAGATGAGATCAAAAGAGACACGATGACGTATCCAGGCACGCGCATTGTAGCATTGGCTCAGTCTTGAATCTTGAGTCGGCATCTGTGTTGTGCCCAAAGAAAAAACTGATTCAAGGCTTGAATTTGTCTTTTCATCTGAACATCTCAAAACCTGGTCCGCCTTGGACATTAACAAGACCTTAGACAGCCATGGAACATAACATAATTATTAAAAATTTTAATTATTTATTTAAATAAATAAATAAATAAATAAATTTTTAATAATATAATTATATGATATAATTTAAATAACAAATATATATATATGCTAACATAACATAATTATTTCTTGCAAAATCTTTTCTTTTGCTTTTTAGTCACATCCGATGCAGCCTCCATCGTTTTTTAAGTAGATATTATTACTTTTACTTTTTTTTGGAATCAGACAGCCGTCTAGTTAAAAACTTTGAAAAACTTTTTTTATACGAATATGTCAAATCATCAATGACACGTGTTAGTCTCCACTTGTTTCGTCTCGACCGTAGCCGAACCATTTTTCCAATCTTTGACCATACCTTACCATAATTCAATTGTGTAGTTACATTAGTGGGAGAATGCCAGTTGGAAGATAATGTTTGATTTGGGTAATCACCTTTTTGTTTTGTTGTCGTATCTAGATTTCAAAAATATTTCCATCCACTTACTTAAAGCATTGTATTATTTTAAGATATCAAGTATTAATTTTTGTGTTAATTAGGTAATTTTATAATATGATTAAATTTGAAATATAATGATTCTAAATTTATTTTAATTAATTTATATATTTATTTTAAATATATATTCAGTAAATAATTTTAATACTTATAATTTTTTATATTTTTAATTTGCGAATTTTTTTATATATATAAAAGAATTTGACATGAAGTTTACGTGAATAAGAAAATGCCGGTCCACTTGTCAAACATTCAATACCCAAAAGTAGGCCGAAAACCTTCCCATCTATATAACCAATAAATCATTCCTCTGTTTTTCTCTTCTTTAAAGGCTAACAACCAAAACCAAAGCTCACTTCCAGTACTTTCAACTACACTTCATGGAAGAGGCAAGCCCAAGGGCCCGTCGTCGGCCGGAGCACATTTCCCACCATTCCCTCTTTGGAAAGCAGCTGCCAGAGAGCCCAAGAGGTCCAATGGAGTTCCTTTCAAGGTCATGGAGTGTTTCAGCTCTCGAAGTGTCCAAAGCCCTTGCACCTCTTCAGCATCACCATTCAGTCAGTGGTAATAGTACGGCTCCAAAGTCTGCCAGCAGCTCTTCGTGCACTATAGCTGAAGATATAAATGGCGAGACGGAGCTTGATAAGGCTGCTGTTGCCAATCAGTTCTCTTTCTCTTCCTCTGCTACTTCACAGCTCGTTCTTGAAAGCATTATGTCACAGTCGGTAAATACTACATGTACAATGTTCAAATAAGTGTTAGAAACTGACGGTCTTTTCTTTTGCGTGCTTTGGTTATTATTTTTACTGGTTTATATTTGTAGGAAGTATCACCATTAACATCAGGGAGGCTCTCTCACAGCAGCGGGCCTTTGATTAATGGTAGCCCTCCGGTTTCACCAACTGAGGAATTCGACGACGTCGTTAAGGTCTCGTACACACTCCCTAGTCTACTTCCCTCTCCTTTTCTTTTGTATATATTTAAATAATTGGCATGATATGGTACTATTTTATATCCTAGTGATCTTTTCGGTGGAAGAAAAGAAAAGAAAAAGAGAAAGGAAATGTTGAGCAATACATTGAAGACAGGCAGGAGACCAATATCTCAGCTTTCTGTCTCTTCTCTGCTACCCACAGCATCACTTGTCCCTCTCTAATGCCTAGTAATCTTTGGATTATTTTAGTATTACACTGAACAGAGGGCGGGAACTTTTGTCTTCTTCCAATTAAACATTTTTATTTCCCTAAAGATCTTCTAAGGTGCTGTCTTATCAGCTAAAGCTGCCTGTTTTGAGGACTTAAAAAGTACTTACTTACCAGCTATTATTTCAAATTAAACTTGTCTTTAGGTCCGAACTGGATTTTATGGCCTGAATCTGAGATTGTCTACTCATTCATAAGCCTTTTTTCTGCCATACTGTAAGATTTTCCTTTAACGGCAAAGCTTCTTTGAATGATGATGAATGTTGGGGTGAAATGATCAGCTGATTTGAACAAGTTGTGGATTAATATAAGTTGTCTGAAATTGGCTTAAAATTTTGAAGACGCGAGGGTATGGTGAAGGAGAGGATGGAGTACAGGAGTGGGAAATGATGCTGTATTTCAGTTGGAAATGTCATGTGACTAGTGTCATTGTTTGTCTGTTTGCTTTTGATCATTGGATCCAACTTCAAAGTCAAAACCTTACCGCCTCAAGAAAACAATCTCTCACACTTCCCTTCACCTGAAAGTAAAACAGTAAGTATACGCGGACACCAGAAACCACCATACTCTTTAGCTTTCAGGTCACATTTGTAAAGGAGTGTCACATTTCTCTGATCTGTTGATTCTGCTCCATCTTCTACAAGGCTCGTGTATAAGAACCAGAAACTTCCCATTTTGCTCATAACTTTTTCAAAATAACAATGAATATGACGCATGGTCGTCTTAAGCATAAAGTCATTGTCACAACCATGACTCATTCCATTGTTATTGCATTTCCATTCCATACTTGTACTAGTTCAAACCCATATTCAATTGACATATTAAAAAAATTGGCTTTGTAATTACAATTCTTGCAGTATTTCCGTACCCACAACTCCATACAACCTTTATTCCAAGGAGGCCGCACAGGTGCTGGTAATGGCCATAACACACCCAACGGGGCCAAGACAGTGGGGAGATGGTTAAAGGACAGGAAAGAGAAAAAGAAAGAAGAAACGAGAGCTCACAATGCACAGCTCCACGCTGCTATCTCAGTTGCTGCAGTTGCCTCATCGATAGCAGCCATTGCAGTGGCCACTGCGGCTTCTTCTTCCACCTTTGAAAAAAATGAACAGTCAACAAAGACCGACATGGCTGTGGCATCAGCAGCAACATTAGTAGCTGCGCATTGCGTGGAGGCTGCAGAAGCTATGGGAGTTGAACGTGACCATCTTGCTTCAGTTGTGAACTCTGCTGTTAATGTTCGTTCACATGATGAAATCGTGACTCTCACAGCTGCTGCAGCTACAGGTAAAGATTTCTTCCTGGCACCAATCCAGGATCCTATCTTATTTTTTGTGCTAATACTTCTAAGTCTTTAATTTCAACCCGAGTCAAAATTCTGGACTCGGTAACCTTAGATGCGTCTACAGCTGCAGCTAGTGGAGCTTGATGGTTATATTAGTCTTTGGAACAGTAAAAAACCTCACCAAAATGCTTCATTCATTGCCTGACTTCTATTTTATCTGCCATTAATTCAAAACTAATGTATCCTATAATACTCATCAATCATCAGGTTATGAAGTACAAGACGACAGACTTATAAATAAGCATTTACTAGATTCCAAAGATTTAGCTGCATTGGATTTTCATTTGTATTCATTATAATGGATGATTTTTCTTTCTTTGCAGCTTTACGTGGGGCAGCAACCTTAAAGGCAAGAGCACTAAAGGAAGGATGGAACATTGCAGCGGTCCTTCCAGCTGAGAAAGGAATAGGCGTTGGATCCTGTTCTAAAGGCAATAACGGGCATTCAGACTGCAACTATAGCGGAGAGTTTGCCTCTGGAGAGGATTTCCTTACTGCCTGTAGTCAAGAGCCCCTTGCCAAGGGTAGCGAACTTCTCAAAAGAACCCGGAAAGGTATTAAATCTGTTCATTTTTGCATAATTACACGTTATTGTATGATTACAATTTACAAATCATATAATTTACGTTTTGTCTATATGCAGGTGACCTTCACTGGAAAGTTGTCTCTGTCTATATGAACAAGACAGGCCAGGTAGACATTGATAAATAAAATTACCATTTTATATATGAATGAATTCTACCCCGCACAGTTACAGTAACATCATAATAATCCATGTGTTTAACTTTTGAAGGTGGTTTTGAAGATGAAGAGCAAGCATGTTGCTAGGACATTCACCAAAAAGAAAAAGAGTAAGTTGTAATGGTCCAAGTCGACGTTGCCAATGTTGATTTAAGAAATTGTGGATTGCCTTAGAAATAGTAATTTTTTCGGGGTTTCAGATGTGGTTTTGGAGGTGTGCAAGGACATGCCAGCATGGCCAGGAAGACATCTATTCGATGGTGGAGAGCAGCGTCGTTACTTTGGATTGAAGACTGAAACAAGAGGGCTCGTAGAGTTTGAGTGCAGGAGTCAGAGAGAATACGATCTGTGGACTCAAGGTGTCTCAAGGCTTCTCTCGATTGTTGCTGAAAGAAAGCATAGGAGACAAAGCTCAACTACATGGTCTCTGGGCGGCAAAGACCTTGGACTAATGACCTCATCTGCCTGACTAAGGTCGATTGCTTTAGGGGCTCGAAGCAAGCAATTGGGCGTACGGTCAATTCATACCAAGGCAAATATCTAATTCCGCCGTGCATAACTAACATTTTGAGGTGGCGCAATCAAATTTCTGGGACTGATTAATTTTTTGTAGGGCCTATTACTTAGTAACCTTTCAAAAAGTCGTACATGTGTAAGATTGGACTCTTTGCTTGCGTTATGGGTATATTTTGCTTCAGCACATTGTTGTCCACTTTAAATCATTGCGATGTATGCCCAAAGAATTCAGTAAGAAACTACGAGGATAAAGAAAAACATTTATATGGTTCAATCAACGGGGTTTTATTTTTATTTTATATTCTGGAAAAGTGATTCATTAACTTTTTTTTTTCATAGGCAATTCTTATGATAAAGATTTCCTCGCAAATAAATTCCGAATAATTATATAATCTTTCAAAGGGCAAATACTTTTAAAATTCAAACAACTCTAGCACATATATAAGCAAATATATATCTGGAAATATACGTAACCCTATTCCCTGCTAAAAACTTGGAATCATCCATAACTTTACACATATAGTCCTAATCATGGGGAACAATGAAGTGCTTGAAAGAGAAAGAAAATAGCTCTTGAAAAAAAGGGCCTTCAACCCTAAAAGGAAATGCAAATGATCAAGGAAAAATCATGAAATCCAAGTATGTATCTAATTGAACTAGTAACTAACACACCCTTCAATGTCCCCAACCTCAAGGCAAGCATCTTGAGTTGGGATGTGCTTTTGGGCAAAGTTACATTTGGAATATCTCGTTAAGCCAAACCTTATTATGATAACTTTACATTTGGGCAAAGTCTATCTATTGTTACTAGATAGAATGATGCTAATGTGATTTGCATTTGATATGCCTGCCTACCATCGTGTGAACACCCAAATGCTGGCAGATCAACCTAGATTTACACAGAGCAAGGAACATAAAAGTCGGAGCACGACTTCCTCTCCATCGCCACTCTTTCCAAATGTGAGATAACATGCACAATGAAATATGCAGGGAAAACAAATTCTAGCATTCAATCACCTGTGATATGACTTCAGTATGACAGCACAGATTTTGGCCGTTTCTACATCATTGACATTTACATCTACAAAAAAAAAAGCAAATAAAGGGAAAAAGAAGATGACATCAAGGTTTAGGTGATCAAGAAGAATTTCTTGTAGCCACTCTGATATCCTTTAACTATCTGCAGCTCTAAAAATAGTAAGCAGTGAAAGGAAGAGATTGATTATATCCAAATACAGAGCTACAGCAGCCCAAATGTATTCATCATAAGTGTAACGCTTGATCAAGTTGTCTGTGTCATATATGATATAACCGCAGAATATGATAGAGGCCAAGCACCCATAGATCATCACTGATAATCTACCCAGCGGGAAGAGAATCTACACCCAGCAGTGAGAATTCAATAACTTGTATAGAACAGAGATAAATGACAAAAAAAACAGCTAAATAAACATGGCAAGATCAAAATACCTGAATCAGAGCGAAGACCATTAGAACAAGGACAGCACCAAACAAGAAAGGGCCAAGGAAGTTGAAATCATGCCCTCTCCTTGCAGCCCAGAAGGTGTAGAGGGTGAGAGCCACAACCACCACAGCCGTTAGAATTACGGACTCCAAAATAACTTTCCCTGTTCACAAACAAAATGCACATGAATTAATTAATTCAACGCTACAATCAGTAGCATCTAGATACAAATTAACTGCATTCGCCAATTATACAGCGAGTTAAATATATATTCTTGTTGAGATACAAAATATACATAAAGATAGAAAAGTCATAAGCAAAAACTTCCATCAAATGCTAAGCTAATACCCTCCATTCACGTTGGAAGCCTTAAAATTTTGAAAGAAAAAGATATTAATTCACCCATACACCTTAATTAACAAAAACTCCATTCCCAAAATTCACTAAGCACTTAGTTTTAACTCAAATCAGTTTAATCAAGATATAGCAATTGCTATAATTTTTTTTATTTGTCCAGTTCAAATTCTATAGTTCTATCAAATAACTGCAAAAATAGAGTCAATAAAAGAACATAGCCCGAATTATAATTAAAAAATATACATTCAAATCCATATCTTACCACTGGTAAAAGCGCACGTCAATCCAACTGCAAACGCCAGAGAAACAGTAAAAACTCCAAGAAGAAGATAGTTAACCGGATGCCTCTGGTGATAGTAATACAATGGACAAAGAGCTACAAACAGCAAACCGATTTTCTTTTAGTCAACAAAAAAGTCACAAATTATGAAGACCAAGAAGGAAAGGTACGGTTAAAGAAATAATAACAGAAGAAACACACTAATGAAAGGCGTGACAATTAGGACTATGTAAAGAGCCAGGCCGGCCCCACTGCTGACGAAGAAATGAGCGATCGGACGAACCGTAACCACTGTGGCGGCCACCGCGATTGTAGCCAACAATTGAATGGCAACGATTGAATAAACTTTCCGGATAAAAGCCCACCTAATCTCCGGCGGTTCTAGCATCGTGGGATACAAAGGCCTGGCGCCCGCCTCCGCATCATTCTTCCGGTAGGCCTGATTCCACATCATCCTAAAAATTTAAAATCAATTCAAAGTAAAATGCAAAAACTGGGAGAAGAAGGAATGAAAACTGCCGCTAACTTCAGGGCTGGATTTTGGGTTTTGAATTTTTTTGGGGGGTTGAATTTCAGTTCGTAAAAGGAGGAAACTTTGGGGATATTACAAAAGCGGCGGTTTTGGGTAGGCCGAAGGCTCTTGATGCGTCTTCTAACTGCGCGCAAGGCAAGGGCGGTGAAGGTTAGCCTGATGTTGACTCGTGGAAAACCAAAAAGGCAAAAAAACCTGAGGAAACGTGGATGACTCTCAAATATTCTAGACTACCGGGTGGGATTTTGGATCATGGCCTTGTCCTGTTTTTTATCTCTGTTTTTTATTGTTGCCAATCGAGGAAGCATTTATTCAAAAAATTAATAATCCAAGTGGAAAGCATATACTTTTTGAATATGGTTCCTTGCAAGTAAATTCGTTCCTTCCTTCCTTCCAGGAGTTTTCTAGCAAAGTTTCCTTTTTAGTGATATTTTATTCTTTTAAAGCTTTTGGTCATTATTCACTATTTGAAGACTAGATTAAATTTTTGATAAGCGAGGTCATGATGTACTGATATTAAAATTATTGTGAAATAACTTAGATTTAGTTTAATTTATTTTCAAGAGATAATATTTAAAATTTTGAAATTTAAATTTGAGTATTTTACAATTTTATGTATTTTTAAATTACAATATTTTTTATAAATAATATAAAATTGATATTTTTAATATATTTAAATGATAATATATATGCCATTTAGAGTATTTAAAAAAAAAAAAACTTAGGGGTTTAAAATGCATTTATGCTATCAATGAATAAATAGTCGGTATACATTCATATTTCTCAAATCATATAGCTTAATACTTCCTTATTACTGAGAAGGCATTGGAAACATCATAAGAGGTAAGAGTTAAGTTTTATTGTAAAAAAGATTGTAAAATGTACAAGTGATATTCGGTTAAAAACTTATGTTTAAGATTGGTTTGAAAGTTGAAACCAATTTGTCAATAACTGTTTTTTAAATTCAGTAATCAAAATTTAATTATTAACAATTTCAGATATATAAAAAAAAAAAAAGTAAAAGGCAATTCAATTAAAGAATTTTTTTATTTAGCAAAAAAAAAAAAAAACCTACAAAGTTTCGCCTTTAAGCATTCCATAACAATGGATTGAAAAGGCCCTTTTTCCTTCTAACGTCGGAAAGTGATCCCAAACGTAAGATCAAATTCCAAATTTAGATATCTAATTAATTATCTTACTAGTATTTTTTTCTTGGGCCATTTGGCAGAACCCTGGAGATCCTATTGGACTTGGTTTTTTTTTTCCCCTTAAAATGCTTCATTTGTGGGTTGATTTATAAGCCTAATCTTCACGTGGTGGTCTTTTGCAATGTAATCTTCCGCGCAACGCAAGAGGAAAATCGTCGACCAAAGGTTAAGCGCTTCGCCGGGGCTTGGTTGACAATGGCGGGTTTATATTTCAACTCAAATTCTGCTTGTTTCAAAAGGCCCTTTGAATCTTTTGATCAAGCCTGCTTTGGTGTAGCCAAGGAATTAGTTTTCTGCACAAAAAAAAAAAAAAAAAGGAAAAATTTGTGAGTAAATATATATTATCACAAATATATATCACAATTCGAGAATGACAAATTTCATTTATGCTTTACCTAATAATGCATATTCACACATATCTCACTTGGAACCTATATATTCTTTTCACCAAATGGTGCTTGATAAAATATATGGGCACCAAAAATCTCACATTCTCTCAAAATAAAGAATAAAATGCTAACACGAGGAAAAGGTGAAGACAATGTTTGAGATATGGGGTGGTTGAACCCCACACAACTTTATGGAATATTATAAAAAAAATTATTATAAAAAAATATAGTCTCTTTAATCCCAAAGAATATTTTCTCATGAAAATAATACTCTTTTTCCTATTGAAATTTACCAAAATTCAAATTTTAGAATTTAAAGCATATGAATCTTCTTGAGTTAACAATCAAATATCAAAGGTTTTTTTAAAACAAAACCTCTTAATAATAAGTAATAATACAAACCATTTTAATTTATTTTATAAACTTCTTTTTCTTAAGAAAAAAAGCTCTAGGAATTGAATTGATTAAAATTAAGATTTTTATTGATGCTTTATTTAACCTTTATCATTTAAAATTTTTAAAACTATAAACATAAGAGAAATTACATACATCACTTAATTATCAAATAAATTAAAACTTAATTAGATAAATTTAATATAAAACTAAATCAGATCCCCGCACAATAAAACTTGATCAATTAATCTTGAAGTCTTGCATCCGTTCATGTTCTGATATACTTTCCTAGTTTAAGCATTCATTTTTTCAAGGATGCATGCACCTGTAATAATGGCCACTGTCATATCGACAAATGGGGACTATATATGTTTTTTACCGTGTACTACCGACACAAAAGTTTTACTCCTACCAGCTAATCGTAAGGGGAATTTACACTATAAAGATGGAGTCATAGAGCTAAGTCACGACTAATTCTATCAATTTCCGTATCCCACACTGTGATAACAGGATGGCACAGCTATTGGAAACTAAGCAGCCTGTTTTATCAACAGTACTGCCAGTTTTTATACCGGGAAAATATAAACCGTGTAGCATAAAGTTGGATTTATCAAGCCCTTCCTCACCTCCCAACCCACTGTTGATTTTCACACCATCCGAACAGGGCACCTACCCCGTCATCTTGTTCTTCCATGGCTTCTGCCTCTGTAACTACTTCTACTCTGACCTCCTCCAGCACATATCTTCCCATGGATTCATAATTGTTGCTCCTCAGGTACGTACTTGATAAATTAATTTTATATCCTACGACATATTATTAACAGATACGTTCGCAAGCGTATTCACAACTATTCTTGAATTGATATTTCAGTTATGGAATATTATCCCTCCTTGTGGAACGGAAGAGGTTGAATCTGCAGCCAAAGTAGCAGATTGGTTACCATCAGGTCTGCCGTCCGTACTCCCTGGTAATATTGAGGCAAACCTGGTGAAGCTTGCTCTTGTAGGCCACAGCAGGGGTGGGAAAAAACAGCATTTGCACTAGCACTTGGGTATACCAAAACTACCCAAAATTTTTCTGCACTAATTGGTATTGACCCAGTTGCTGGCACTACATGTGGCCAAACTAAACCCAAAATCCTGACCTATGTCACTGGATCTTTCAATTTATCAATCCCGGTCACTGTCATCGGTACCGGCTTAGGTCCTGAGTCCAAGGGCTGCTTGCCGTGTCCTTGTGCTCCTAATGGGTTAAACCACGAGGAGTTTTTCAACGAGTGCAAGCCTCCACGCGCTCATTTTGTTGCCAAAAACTACGGTCACATGGATGTCTTAGATGATAATCCATCGGGACTTGTTGGGAAACTTTCTGATTATACGTGCGTGAGTGGAAAAGGTCCTGGGGATCTCATGAGGAGATGCGTTGGTGGTATTGTTGTTGCATTTCTGAATTACTTTTTCCAGGGGGAGAAAGGGGATTTCATGACCATTGTGAATGAACCTTATGTTGCTCCTGTGAAGCTTGATCAAGTTGAGTTCAATATTTAACCGTACAACGGTTATGCCAGATCTTGAACGATGTTTAAGCAGATATAGATTATAGACCGTCTCATTTTTTTTTTTTTTTGAATGGTTTGTAGACCTAGATTGTTTGTTTGCAACATGGCAATTATTTGTAGTTGCCTAGAAATAGGGGGAGTGCAAGTGACGTATTGTATGCCATCTAAAGTCACAACATAATTTGGGTTTAGAATGCTGTCAATGAATAAATACTTGGTCTACAATCATATTTGTCATATCAGATAGCTCAATGCTTTCTTATTAGTGAGAAGGTATTGGAAACGTCATAAGCGATAAGAATTAAGTAATATTATAAGAAGATTGTAAAATGCCCAAGTTGTCTCCAATCAACTATAGAATTTTTTTTTTAGCAAAAAAAAAAAAAAAAGCAAAAAACAAAAAACTTTTCGCCTTTAACTTTAAGCATTCCATAGCAATGGATTAAACAAACCCTTTCGCTCCGGCAAGTGAGCCCAAACAAAAAGATCAACTTCCAAATTTCGATGTCTGATAAATTATCTTACAAGTATCTTTTCTTGGGCCATTCGGCAGAACCCATGAGATCCTATTGGACTTTCATTTTCTCTTACAAGTTACAATGCTGCCATTGTGGGTTGACTTGTAAGCCTAATCTTCACATGGAGATTCTCACTATAAAATCTTGCACGGTGGTCTTTTGCAATGTAATCTTCCATGCAAGAAGAAAATTGTCGACAGAGAAGGCGTTAATTGAAGCATGTTGGGGAGAGTATTTAATTCATATCAGTTATATTAGAGGTATTTTGAACACAAAATGTAATCGTACAGCAATTATGATAGACAATTACCTCTGTTTATTATTTAGATATAATACTGTATCGCCCATTCTGACTAAAAATTTAAAAGGAATTTAAAAAACGATAATTTTTGTAATGTTTAACTATCAACTTATTATTAAGCAAGTGATTTTAAGAAAATTTATTTATGCTCCATAAATGGATTGAATTTCTTTACTTATTTATCTTGCATATCAATGTTGTGCAAATATGAAGAAATATATAGTTTTGCCACGATAAAATCCAAAAACTTTTCTTTAATCATTTTAAAAATATATTTTGGTCCCACTTAATTTAAAAGATTAACTTTTGTTTCTATGTCCTTTCATATTTTATATTTTTTTGTACTTTTCTCTCCTAATATAATTAGAACTGATGATTTGATTTATATTTATATTTTTTACCTTTAAACTTTCTATTTTTGGTAAAATAAAATTTAGGTAATTTATTTTTCCTCTTTTTTAATAATCATCGGTCTATTTTTTATTTGCTTACGATTTGATAAAATTAGAATAAAATTTTTTTAATAATTATTTAATTATAAAAATATTTTTATTATTTAATTATTTGGGCATTGATTTGGCAAGAAAGATTTTGATTGGCTTGAAGTCGCTGTTTATGTGCGTATCCAGTGCATGCGGTGACTTGCCTGCGTGTGACTTTCGGTCTTTCCCGTAGCACAGTAATTTTCACATTACCTTTATCTGGCTTTGGGCTCTGGTCAGGGGAAGATCTTCTCCAAAAATTGGTGGAAATTTTTAGTTTTATTTAAAAGTAATAAATACACTTTAATTAAATTTATAGTAAATATTTATTTAAATTATTTTTATTTTTTTCATTTAATTTTATTTAATTTAAAATTATTAAAATTTAATTATAAATTTAATCGAAAGTGCGCGAACTTTTATTAATTTTAAATAGTTGAGAAAATGCTTGCCCTACAGTATAGCTATAAAAGCTATTCCTCTCTAGTCTCTTTCATTTTTTTTCCTTTTTTTTTTAAACTCTTTTTTATTATCACTTGAATATGTTCCCAATGACCCACTAGCTTTGAGATAGGGACTGGACTGATACGTACATTAACATGTTTTCCTGTTGATAATGATGCTGTTGGGAATAATGTTACGGGCTGTTTACATTTTTTTGAAAAAAAAAAAAATTTGATGTACAAATATACGAGATTTATAATATTAATTTGATGTACATAAATACGAGATTTTTATTGATCTCGTGTACTTTCGATAAAAATGATGATCATTTGTGTGATATGCTTTATTTCATTTTTAATCATAATGTATTTGATATTTTGAATATATTTTCGATTAAATTTGTGTCATTTGACTTATGAATTCAATTAAACTCTAAGTTTTGTTATCGATATGGATAACAAATTTAAGATTTAATTGAGGTGAGGTAATATCACTATGACCAAAATTAAAAAGATTATTATAAGAAGAGTTTTTTTATTATTATTATTTGATCCGTACAAGTAGGAGAAGTTTTATTTTATTTATTTGCTTTCATAGCTTTCATTATATTTTGCTTCAATTAATTTCATGAAACCAAACATGGCCCTAGCCCCTGACCCTCTATAGAACAGCTTAATTCAGAGGCTACTAGTTAGAGAAGGTTATCTAAAGACGTGTTCATATGATGCGGTGGTGGAAACTGGAAACAGGAAAGTGATTCAGATCAAGTTCTTAGTGCGCTTACTGCAAATATGAAGAGTGCTTTCTCTTCTCCTAGTCATTTGATAGAAGTAGTACTGCTGGTGCGTCACTTGACAAAACATTTGAGAACTTGTGTTTTGTCTTCTACTCAAAAGAAGGTAATGGTAATGGAGCAGCAGCCATGATTATCGGCTTGTCTGTTCATAGCGAGAACATTGTTTTTTTTGGCTTGATTATTTATTAGCTCTATATAAGGAAACTTGATTTACTGAAAATATATAGTACGATGATTGTATTACCCTAAATATTTGATTATTTAAAATCATATGCATACTATTAAAACAAGTCAATTATTTCACAAAAGGTGGCATAGGAAAACTCATACCTAAAGAGAAAAAAAAAAGTCAAGCTACTCATCTGATCATTTTCTTTTCCAAATATTTATATTTTTGACATGGTATAAAATTAATATGCTTTTGTTTTCGGTGTCTTCGATTACTTACTTCCGATTGATATTTCATTTGGATATGTAGTAAAAAAATTTCACCGTGAATCTTTGAAAATTCCTTAAAGATACAGCATAAATTGTAATTAAGACAAATAAAAATATCTCATGATGCAACCAAAGGTACGATGAACCTTGTCGCCAGCAATGGTGCGGTTGCCAGTTTCCTTTTTCCTCTTTCAACTACTTGGTAATGACTCGTTTTCATTCTCTTTTGACTTTTCTGATGCTAACGAATAGATATATTAACCGGAATTACTCACGGTTCCTTCTTGGTCTTGTTAGTATCAATTTCCTTCTTTAGTGATTGCATTCATCATGTGCACGATATCTCACTAGATTTGAGGTTACTTTACAGAGTGGAAAATATCAATCTATCAGTATTTTAATGGGAAATTAAAAATTTAAAAAGATAAGAGTTAGTTTTAATTAATTAAAAAAGAATCAAAGAAAGAAAGCAAAGGGAGACACTGTGATTTAAAAGGAAAAATTACTGCAAAATTTACCTAAAAGTTAATATTTATTTGTATAAATAAAAGAAAAAAAAAACAAAAGTTAAACGATGAGTTGAAAGGCAGCAATAAGGGGTGAATTGTCTAGGGACCGGTGTGCAAAAGCGGGATCCGGGCGAGACGAAACCCACAGAAAAAGCGAAACGTGGTCGTCTCATATTCCGGAAAAGTGGGCCAGTGACCCCACTCGGCTAGGACAGTAGTAGCTAGTGCTACTAGCCGGGGCTTAAAGATGTTTAACATGCTACGTGGTCCTCTCGTTTGGCTCAGGGGAGTGGAAGACACGTGGGTTGTTTGACAAGTGGCGGTAGAGGGCTGATCAACCCCCGCTATATCATGGCTCTCGGGTCCCTCCACATTATCTTCCGTACCACGATTTGGCTGCCCATCACGTGATTCAACCCCCCCGTCGCTTCATTTACTTCCCTCCTTTCCCCACACTTTAATCCTACCTAGCTCTGCCCCCTCTAACCTAAAGGGGCCATTTGGATGTCCGGAGCGGTTGAGACTCAACAGCCTTGATTTTTTTTTCCTTAATGGGTCAGGACAGTCGACAATGGACATATCCTGCTTTATCGCTTTCGGATTTTTTTTTTGTTACAAAATGAGGTGGGTTAATACGGTAATTTCATGAAATACGAGCGATTACGTGGCGTCCCGGGGTGGCAATAACATTATATAAATAATAATAATAAAAAATATAATAAGCACATGGAAAGAAAAGAAACTAAGTTAGAAAAGGTTTAAGAAAGGCTGAGACGCCGCGACCTAAGCTTCTCTCAAATTCACGCACTATTTCTCTCTCCCTCACTCTTTCAAAACAAAAAGCCCCTGGAGCACTTTCCAATTTACGGAATTAGTAATCACAGAAATCAGTGGAGAGTGTAAAAAGAAAATCCCTTACCTTACCCCATTGGCTCGTCGATCGATCTCGCTGCGACTTGGAGAAGAAACTAGGAAACTAGAGCTCCAAAGGCAGCTGATTACTTAAACAGGAAATTGGACGCCATGTCACCGGGAGAAACCGTCTCTCGGTCACCTCTTGATAAGCCTCTCAACCAACTTACTGAGGATGACATTTCTCAGGTCACTCGTGAAGATTGCCGCCGTTACCTGAAAGAAAAAGGTCTCTCTCTCTCTCTGCAACTATTTTTTTGTATCTTTTTTAAATGTAAAAATGTGTGCTTGTTGTGTTTCTAATTTTAAAATTTTTTTTGGTGTTCTTTCCTTGTAGGGATGCGGAGACCGTCGTGGAACAAATCCCAGGCGATTCAGCAGGTGATCTCACTGAAAACTCTTCTCGAAACGACGTTGGATGCGGACGCCGTCGAAGCCCGGAAGAAACTTTACATTCCCTGCCCCGAAAATCCTCCTTGTGTGCGTGGATTTTTTTCAATAAATAAATCTTATTTTATTTTATTTCATTTTTACTTTATTCAAAGCGTGGAACTGAAAAGTACTAGTAGTAGTAGGCATATTTTAAGAAACCTTTCTCTTTTAGTCAAACTTGTTGAATTATATAAAATTTTCGCAGGTCGTTTCTGATTCAACCGTTCTACCGAACGAAACGACACAGCGTAACGGGATCTCGGGTCCAGTCAACGAATCCGTTCCTTATCCCCGTCCAGATCCCTCGAAATCCGATTTTTCCGGCGATTATTCTGTTCGAACCGCCATCTCTGGAAATGGCTCTGTTTCTCCGAGGTTGTTCATTAATTTTGCACCGTATTCTTTCCATTTTCTAAATAACTCTAGTTTTGCATGGAATTAATGCATTTGAGCTAAGTTCAATGCTTGAACCAAACAAGAAAGAGGTTCAGTGTGTGACCTTTGATTCTCCTGTTCTTTAGGAAACTTGATCCAATATATTGTTGGTCAAGCTTGTTCGTGATTGGTGGTTGCTATAGTCAACGGTTTAAAATTAACGTTTCAATGCAAATGGAATGTGAATTTGCAATGTGCCCGAATATCCATGTGGTATCTGTCATTTCGGATGTCGAATTTGTGCTTGCAATTATTGCCAAATCTTTGGTCAACAATGACGGCATGTCACTGATAGGTTTTTTTTTTTTTCTTTCTAGTATTAGATTTTCAATCCGGAGGATCCTCTGAGTTAATTCACCTAGTTATGCTCTAAAATTCTAACCATTTAAATGGGTGGATTGGATAATCAGATGGTGCCAGATCAGCATTTTTGTGTCACAAGTGGCAATGTAAGCGTCTAGGATCGGTGATGGTATTAACATGTGATGAATGATGTGGCACCACCCTAATTGTTGTTTTTTTATTTTGTCAGAGTCATAATAGAGTAACTCTATTAGGGCCTTGATACTTTAGTTCGTAGAGTAATTGATTTGTCTTGTTATTAAAATGGAATGACATTGAAGTTAGATACAAAAGAAATGTGGAGTAAGTTTTCTGCTGGCTAGAGTGCTTGACTAGAATCTCTAATGCGAATAAGAGCACTTGGTTGGGATTAAAGTTTCTTGGCTTTTGTTAATGCCTTATTTCTGTCTCAAGCTAGCTTGCATCGTACTGCTTCCGACTTTATGGTTCTACTTCTTGGTGAGAAAACCAAATCTAGCTCCTATAAATAAATCAAGAGCTCATGATGGAGAAAGTAGGTGATGGAAATTTTGAACTAGCGAGAAAAAAATTGGCTTTTGTAAATGATGTTTGCTTAACAATTTGATTAACTGAAATGTAAAGTAAGAAAGAAGGCCATGGTTTACATTCCAATGCACGTTATATGGTATGCTATGTCACGTTAATTGGAGATTAGCTATTTGCCTTTTGTCAAATGTGGGTTTGTTGTTAATGTTTCTCTGTGATAAATACCAACAGTAGATGAACTAGATATTTCTTTCAGGAATAGCCAAGTATGGAGTAGTTGAAATCTTGTAGTTTTGTAGTTAAATTTCTGGCCTGTCTTAGATCCTCTTTTTATAACTTGTATGGCTACTGGTTAGAACTTAGAGGTTCTTGTAGAATGTAAGGGCACTTAAACCGAATGCTTTTCCCTGAATATTTCTTCTCAGCTTTCACGATTTTGGCATGTAAGACTACATATGTAATCGAAGCTTTACCTCCTAGTTGTGCAGTTAATGATTCACTGCTAGTGTTGAGTTTGTCTTCATAAAATTATTTAAAAAGTTTTTACCACCTCTTAAGTATCTAGCATTATGCGGTGATGGTGGTGGCTATGAGTGTTTTCTTATTAGATTTTCTTAGTGAAATCTTGCATCCTATTAGTTTGTTTCTGATTATTTATGGTCAGAAAAAAAACTCATAGTCATAGTTCATTGAAGCTAGACCAACTTATGAACAATTAATACAAATTGTTTTTGAGTGAAAATTTTAGGCCTTGATCTAGATTGATCTGGAGCACGTCTTCTAAGGAAAAATCATTTTACCGGTTTTTCTGTAGTTGTATTTTACTAATTGAAGTTCTAAGACTGAGAAATCTCAACTGCCCAGAACTGCAGGTGCAGCAAAAGAGCCAGCAGGACAGATGACAATTTTTTACTGTGGGAAAGTGAATGTCTATGATGATATGCCTGGCTGTAAGGTAATATACTTCCTCTATTCTTTATAGTTCCAACACCATATTGGATATCTCATTGTAAACAAGTGTTACATATTGGTTTACAATGTTTTTACAGGCAGAAGCAATCTTGCAGCTTGCTGCAAGCCCAGTCTCATTTCCTCAGGAAACTCTAGCTGATCAAAGGACTGCACCATGGTCCATTCCATGCCATTTAGAGGCTACAGGTGTCAAAATAAGCCCATGCTCGCCAATGGTTATAATGCCATCACTGCAAACGGGTAGGCTTTTGGGCTGGGTTAGGTTCTTTTAAATTTCACTTCATATATACATGAGATATTGAGTCTTTTTCCTTCTGTGATAAGTACCAAGTGTAGTATGCTTGACCCAGGGCAGTCAAAAGGAGATGTGAGCTGAGCTTAATTTTTTGCTGGATGAACCTATTTTAGTTTGTAATGAACCATGTTGTATTCCAATAGTATCTATGAATGGTAAATGTACTGGCTTGATTTCAACTTGCATTTCAAAGCGAGTATAATACAGTGCCTAGGTAGCAGGATAATTCTCTACTGATTATTGACATGTCACTTTCATTTTCTTCGCAGTAAAGGTGGCAGAAAACTGTCAGTTTCCTCTAGAAGAGAGCAACCTATCTCATGAAGACAGCCTTGGTAAATGCTTCCTTCTAATTATCTCATAAAATCCCGCCATTTCCTTTAATGGGTAGGATTGGTGATGCAAGCTTCTTAAACACTTCGAGATGCGTGCTTCACATCTGTGCTTTGCACCTTTCTTTGATTAATCGTTCAGGATGATGGATGTGTCCCTTTCCATCTTGCTTTGGCCATAAATACTCACTATTAGCTGAATTTTGTTTTGGTCTTGGTTAGGTATTAACCTTTTGGTTTTAAAACCTGTCTTTTCAGCATTAAGCTATCTCCGTTTAATAATAAATTCTGTACCTTTTACGTAATTGATCAACAAGGGTGCAAGTTTAATGCCAATTCTTGATTTAATGAATTATGATTGGAAGTTACTTCTCCCTTGTCTGTAGTCTCATGCTCTTCAGTACTCTGTCTTCTTTACTTCTTATCATCTCCATAATGAACTAATGATGTTAAAATGAATGAAACTTCAACTGAATTTGATCGTGGGTAAGAATTGCTGTTTTAATAAACTTGGTCCTGGAAGAGATGACAGCATCCAAACATGGTTTATTTGTTGGAGTTACATGTATCCTGTATCCTGGTCTTTTTTTAACAATATGAGAACTGAACTTGCAGATTCTTGCTTAAAAGTAGCATTTCAGTTGCTTGTCTTCTTGATTAGATAATTCTGGTATTTGACGTACACAGACTTTAGGGTCATGGCCTGTATGATTACTTCCTGTTTCTCATTTTCTTTGATATGAATTAGGACATTACTTCCCGTTTCTCATTTTCTTTGATATGAATTAGGACACTGTTTCTTAGGTGGTGTGTACCCAGATGGACTAACTGACCTTGATTCTGAATCTGAACCATGACAACTGTGGAGGACCCTTTATGAAGCCTAGAGAGACGTATGTCTATTCTAAAGATCTGATGTAGTAAAGAAAAAAATGTCATTTAGCATGCATTTTCAACTTTATCTGTTGGTTTAGCTGGTAAATCCATTTGCGACCTGGACTGCAGTATTATTACAGATTTGGCTTTTTAGCATGAATAACACATTCTAGCACAAATTGGCCAAAAGGCAGAAGCAGAATTGCCCTTTCTTGTGCTTTTTTCTGTATGTGGGAACATACTTTTGGGTTCAAGTCAGAAACCTTTGTTTATTCCAAAAGTGAAATAGGATTATGAGTTCTGATTTTTTGATTCTTGTTTTTATCTTTTATGTGTAAATATCAAAGTGATAACTAGTACTGTCAATAAAACCCCATAAAGCTCATTTTCACGGCAGGAATAGAAGGATATACGGTTTCTAGCCATTAAGGTAATTGTTTTATCTGATGATTAATGAACGAAACAAAGCCGATATACCATGGTCACAAAATATACAAGAGGATGGTGTCTTTTGCACGTTTATGATATTGACTTTATCAATAATTTCGGTCTTTATTTACTTTAAATATTCTTTTATGTAACTTGCTTCCAGAAGGTCCTGCTACCCGAAAAGCATCGTTGCAAAGATATCTTGAGAAGAGGAAAGACAGGTATCTTTCATGGCAAATATGTCATACATTTAGAGTCAAATAAGTGTACAATCTAGTTTTTTTTGCTGTTTGTTTCTCATACCCCTGTTAGTTGAAGGTTTAAGAACAAGAGAAAGTTGGCAACATCTTCTTCTCCTACCTTAGACCTCTACTTAAATCAAGTGGGAGATCAGTTCTCGAATGAGCAGTTGAAACAAAGTGTTCTGTCTTTTCGCTGCAGCTCCAATGAAAATGTTCCAAAGACTCGCTACACATCCTAATGCCAAAGGTGACTTATTTTTTGCACGTATTGTCTTGTCTTTTTGTGATGATGGGATTTGAACCTAGGAAATCCATGACAAATTTGATACATATGATTACTTTACGAGAAGCGGACGTCTTATTCTATATGCATATAACCAAATTTGAAAATTCCAACCCAGCCCAAATTTCATCATTATTCTGCAATTTTCCCATGCTATTACCTTGTGGAAATGTTAGGTAGTTAGATACCTCTCATGATGCGCAAGTTAATTTGATTCTAACAGCAGGAAAGGAAGCCTGGTTGTGGCTTCTCTTATCTGGAGAGGTTTTTGCTCTGGCTTTTAACATATGTGTCGTAACTAGTTCCACTAGTATAGTCATAAACTTCCTAGTTAGTTCAACATATTTCAGCTGCCTCTACTGATGATTAGTAGAAATGCATCATATTTATAGTCAAATGTCAAATTTGATGGACCGGTGTTTACTAGACCAGCAAGTTATCTGCTTGCATTTCATTTTGTATGATTTTTCACCTTTTCTTATTGGTATAAGGAATTATTATCATAACATTTAAATCAAAATAAATGAGTTGTGATTGCCTTATTGCAGATGTGTTTAAAATACGAGTTTGGATCAGGCCCTGAATTGGTTGCCAAGGACTATAAGCACGGAGCGCATATCACTTTGTAAGAGTTTGTAGAAATAATAATTAACCTGTTGCATTCGTTGCGGTCATTAGCACTTAGCTAAATGAGGAATCAAAGTTCAGTGTTGCTGATCTGTATTTTTTATTGTGCGGTTTCATTTAGTGATTTGCGGTAAAGCTATATGATCATGGGGCAGCAGAAATAGAAAGGGTTACTTATGTTATCCGTCCTATGGTCATTTTAAGCATCAAGGCTTTCTAGCTAATAGCAAAATCTTTCGTACGAAATTGAAAACAAATGAGCCGTTTGAAGTCTTCAAAAACATTGTGGAGCAAAGTTTGTTATAATGGGTCAATCTCTAGCAAGGGCAACGATGATCCATCAAGCTCCAAATACGAGCTATTAAAGGTCGAAGAGCTGGCAAAAATTGTCTGGGATAGAAAGATATTTTGATTTAAAAGTAATGACTGACTCTATCTAAAATTGGAGCATGATATATCATCTTTTCCAATGATCTTCAGCGCCAGTAATTCGTTTTCAAAATATACTATATCTTAAATGACCCACTCGAATCTGAACATACCAATCAAAATTGCCACCCAAAATGAGCCTGACAAATTGAATTGTGGTTTCTTTTGACAATATTACAAATGCTTTCTGGTGGTATATGGGTATTGTTAATATTGTATTTTTCTTTATGGATGATTTAGTATTGTTATTGTCTGACCGGATAAGGCAAGAAAGAAACCCCAACTCGGCCACGACCCACCATCACACACTCTAGTGATCAATAATTTCTCAGTGATGTCCCACCACTTAGGCACTAGCCTACCTCAAAGCTTACTGTCAACTGAATCATGGCTTCTATTTTTCTTATCTATTCTTTGTCTTCTCGTGCTTTATGCGTGCTTTACTGCTCATAGAAAGAAGTGGGTCCGCTATTGCTTTGTGATAAACATGATTTGTCTTTCAACTAGTTCACGTTGCACTATGATTTGATTAAAGCCACCAAACTAAGGCTTTGCTTCCTTTTTTTTTTTTTTTTTTCTCTTGAAATTTGTCCACCATCTACAAACAGAAGAGACAACGAGAGGATCACCATTGTTCTCCAAACAAACCGTCTCCTCCTACCAAAATTTTAGAGACATGCCAAGGGGATAGATTAAGGAAGATAGAATTTTGGTTGTCCTATTTGGGTATTAATCGCGGCCCAGCAGGTCAACATAAGGTTGGGGCATGTCTTTTCAATGGATTTGGTTTGAAATATGATATGAGAATATGGCTTTTGTCCAGCCTGACCAAACACAAATACTTCTCCTCACTTATTTATCAATTTATATTCTCCATGTATAATAAAAATAATAAAAGGGTAAATAGGGATTTCATTCATACCCATATAAATATATCCAGACAATTATCAAGGTTTTTGAAAATAATCTGTAATTTAATTTAATTAGCTTGGGCAGGAGGTGAGAGGGATTAACACTTTGATAGTTGCCCATCATACAGAAATGGTAAAACCATAAAGAAGGCATTCTTCTATCTGGTGAATGGAATGTAGGGTGGCCTCGGAGTCAGTCATCTGGCTTGACCAAAATGAGTTGGTTCCAATCCAGGATTGCGGGGCTCCCGCGTTTGTCAAAAGACACATTGGTCATTTCACACGACATTCCAATACACCGCCACCCGCTGTTATTGTGTTGTGCATATTATTTCTATTATTATTATTTATTATTTGTAAAAGAGAAGCAAGTGCATTGCATTTCCTCGATTTTTAATCTAAGCTCACCTTGACCTAGGCCGAGGGAAAACTCTAGGGTGTAACCCTACTCACACGCCTGCTCCGATCGTCCCTTGTAAATTGCATGCTAAGCGCGTCGGTATCCAGAACAGAGTGGGTCCACGGGGATCTCAAATCACGAATCCATCAACAAAAATCCAACCTCCCACGTTTCAACTCTCAATATATTTCTTTTAAAACATTTATAACAATTTTGTTTTTAAAAGTACAAAAAGTAATGTAAAACCGAACTTACACTAAATGAAAATTGCTAAAGTTTTATAAAATAGTATGGAGAAAGAAGGTGTTCAATTTTTAAGTGATGATTGCCGCCACAAGTTAAAAAAAAAAAAAAAGCTATTTTTTTTTGCTCGTTTTGACTAACAGGATAACGCAAGTGGGCATTGGCTGTTGCGTGTTAATGGCTTTGGGGTGGGCTCAAATTATCATCCAGTCGGTCTCTCCCAAAATGAAAAAAAGAATATTTGAAATAGTAGTTATCAATTATTTTTGCTTCCAGTATGAGCAACATATACAGGAACTTTCCCTTTTTCATAAGCAGTAAGTATATATATTTAAGAGTTTATATTTAATAATATGTTAGTGTATAAATATTATTAATAAATAAAATAAAATAAATTTATTAATAATATTTTATTAATAAATAAATAATTTTAATTTATATATAAAAATTATTATAATTTAATTATAATATATTAAATATAAACTCTTATCCCCTTAGCACTTCGGGGCAAGACAATTATTGACGTAAAGAAGACAATTATTACTTTAATCACTATTTCCATAATTCTTCACCGTCACAACCTTTTTTTTTTTTTTGGGTAAAAACCAACACTACCTTTTATCAGCCACTTGTTTGAGCTCAATTGTCATCAATTCAACGTCTTTTTTTAATTAATTTTTTATCAGTCTCATTTACTCATCTCTCTTTCTTAAATTTGGGTTTGTTACTATAGTTTAGTTTAGGTTTTTTTATGAACTTCCATCAAATAGTAGATGGCTAGATGCAGTCTTTCCGGTCTCCAACGTTAAGGAAAAGTGAGTGAGAAAGAAAAGGGAAAAAAAAACACTTTCCCTTTTACCAAACAAAAGAAACGTTACAAAAAGCATAGGAAACTGGAAACTCAGGAATTTTTTTCCCTTTTGGATTCCCCCCTTAAACTGATCTCCCTCTGCCTTTCTTCAAAACCTTCGCACAGTTTTTCCTCAAAATTTCAAAATCAACAATCCAGCTTTCTCTCTCTGTCTCTATCATAGGAGTGTATTTGCTAAGGAATTCTGGCTTTTATTGTGAAAGTTATAATGTGGGTTTGGTTGCCTTTGAGGTAAAGATCTTCGGTTAACTGTTGGTGGGTAATTGGTAGTTTCTCATTTTATTGTTTTTTAAATTATTTTTTTAAGATAGACAATTTATTTCTATGTTCTATGACTAGTTGATCCTTTTTTTGGTGTGTGGAATCGGATCAGCCAGGATTCTTTTTTTTTACAGCAAAAAGAATCCATTTTTTTCTAATTGGTTGGTGTAAATTCGAGGCTGTACCAGCTTGTTCAGAGATACCCATATTGAAACTATAGTAAATGATTGTTTGTTTCTCGTATTTTGTTTGCTTGTATTAAATGTTTATAATACAAGTTTTGTTGCTTGGTAATGGTTGGAACTTGGAAAGGTCTCTTAACTAGGTAGGACTAGTGAGATTATTGATAAGAAGGGAACTGTTTTACCCTTTTTTGTGTGTGTGTCTGTGTGTCTGTGTGTTTCTCCTTTTTATCTTTCATTTTTCGTTGGTGTGTTTTTTGAGTTTTGGAAAGAGAGAAGAGAGTGAAGATCCCATTTAGCTATTGTGGAGATCTGGGACTTGTTTAATCTGTTTTGCCCAATGAGGACTTTCTTTCCCTCTGATTCATGTAAAGAATCACAACTCAATGCAATCAATCCTCAGTCTTGGCTCCAAGTTGAAAGAGGGAAGCTTTCTAAATTCTCTTCTTCGGATAACACCTCTTCATCCATGTAAGTATTTCTTTTCTTTTCATTTTCTGAGTTTTTTTTTTTTTTGGGCTTTTTTTGTCTTGAATGAATTGAGACTGTTTTGGTATAATTGTTGTAGAGAATCATTTATCAAGGTTCCTGAGCCAACAATAGTGCCATTCTTTAAACCTATTGATTATGTAGAGGTTTTAGCTCAAATTCATGAAGAACTAGAATCATGTTCTCCGCAAGAGAGGTCGAATCTTTATTTATTACAATTTCAGATCTTTAAGGGCCTTGGGGAAACCAAATTGATGCGGAGAAGCCTCCGCTCTGCTTGGCAGAAGGCTGGCACTGTCCATGAGAGGCTTGTATTTGGGGCATGGTTAAGGTATGAGAAGCAAGGGGAAGAACTTATTGCTGACATGCTTGCAACTTGCAATAAATGTGCACAAGAGTTTGGGCCAATAGATTTTGTTTCTCAGCTCCCAATCGAGGTGAATGGGAGTTCCCCAGACGCTGTTGTGATGAGTGGAGGGAAGAGGCTGAAAAATGTGAGATTTAGGATCGGAGACGAGAAAATAGTTTGTGATAGGCAGAAAATTGCTTCTCTTTCAGTCCCATTTCATGCTATGCTTGATGGGTACTTCACTGAATCACTTTGTGAGGACATCGATTTATCTGAAAACAATATCTCCCCATTGGGTATGAGGACAATTGGTGAGTTCAGCATGACAGGCAGTTTAATTGAAGTCCCTCCTGATCTTTTGTTGGAAATATTAGTTTTTGCAAATAAATTTTGTTGTGAAACACTCAAAGATGCTTGTGATAGGAAACTTGCATCTTTGGTTTGCACCAAAGATGATGCTGTGGAGCTCATGGAATATGCTATTGAAGAGAATTCCCCTGTCCTTGCCGCGTCATGTTTGCAAGTTTTTCTACACGAACTGCCTGACTGTTTGAATGACAACCGAGTGGTGGAAATATTTAGCCATGCTGATAGACAACAGAGATCAATCATGGTTGGACAGGCCTCATTTTCTCTGTATTGTTTATTAAGTGAAGTAGCTATGAACATTGATCCTCGATCTGATAAAACCGTTTCTTTCCTAGAACAATTGATTAAATCTGCTGAAACTGACAGGCAGAGACTGTTAGCATTTCATCAGTTGGGATGTGTAAAGCTTCTGAGGAAAGAGTATGATAAAGCTGAAAGTCTTTTTGAGGCAGCTGTAAGTTTAGGTCATGTATACTCTATTGCAGGTTTGGCTAGACTGGGTTACATTAAGGGCCATAAATTTTGGTCATATGAGAAGCTCAGCTCTGTGATTTCTTCTGTTAACCCACTGGGATGGATGTATCAGGAAAGGTCATTATACTGTGAAGGTGATAAGAGGTGGGAAGACCTTGAGAAAGCAACTGAACTGGACCCAACTCTTACCTACCCATACATGTATCGGGCTGCTTCCCTAATGATGAAACAGAATGTTCAAGCTGCTCTTGCTGAGATCAACCGAGTTCTTGGGTTTAAACTTGCATTAGAATGCTTGGAACTCCGATTTTGTCTTTATTTAGCCTGTGAGGATTACAAAGCAGCCATCTGTGATGTTCAGGCAATTCTAACACTTTCCCCAGATTACAGAATGTTTGAGGGACGGGTGGCAGCATCCCAGCTCCGTACGCTTGTGCGTGAGCATGTTGACGACTGGACAACAGCGGATTGTTGGATGCAGTTGTATGATAGGTGGTCTTCAGTTGATGATGTTGGATCTCTCTCTGTAATCTACCAAATGCTTGAATCTGGTGGGGCAAAAGGTGTTTTATACTTCCGACAATCATTACTTCTCCTCAGGTATGCAGACTTCGAAACTTTTATGGGCCTTGTGACATATCTTATTTTAGTTTTAACAGTCAACCTGCAGCATTTTTCCCCTTTTAAGAAACCAAGCCTTATTATTATTATTTTTTAATTCAGTTAAGTGTGTGTAATAAGTGCTTATCCTATTTATGTGCCTACTCCTTGCTGACTAATTTCAGAAGAGATGCAATGACATAAGGATCACCTCTCATCTCTCTTTTATAGCATCCATTTTCATCCCCATCTACGCCTTTACCATGTATGCTTTTCCCCCTTTTCTGTAGCATTATTGTTTTTTCTGTATTCCTAAGTCACCCCTATCCACCCCCCTCTTTTGCCTTGTTTTCTACTACCCTCAAAATTTAGTTTAGATTGCAGTGTGACCATGATTATATGACTTGAAATAATTTGTGCCTTGACTTGTTCAGGTTGAATTGTCCTGATGCAGCTATGCGAAGTTTAGAATTAGCTCATCAACATGCATCCAGTGAACATGAACGCCTGGTTTACGAGGGATGGATCCTATATGATACTGGTCATTGTGAGGAAGGGCTTCGAAAAGCAGAAGAGTCTATCAAAATTAAGAGATCTTTTGAGGCCTTCTTCCTTAAAGCTTATGCATTGGCTGACTCTTGCTTTGATTTATCTTGTTCTTCAACGGTTATTTCACTCCTTGAAAATGCCTTAAAATGCCCCTCAGATAATCTGCGGAAAGGCCAGGTAAAGGTTTCGTTTTCCCTTCCTTTTTTATTAGAAAATCTTCCATAGTGTACAACCTTACCTTCATAAATATTTTGCTGCAAAGCAAAACCATCTTTAGTTTGTACCCATCAACTAGTTGCATCACTACCAAAAATCATGTTGTAATTGTTGGTATGAATTGGTCCCATGCCCTTGGGCTGTTTGAATTTCATTGATTTATTTTATCCATTTTTTTGTTTGTTTCCTAGTCTTTGTTTGGGTTGTACTATGATGACTCAGTCATGCAACATTTGAAGAGCATGAAGAGTCTCCTTTTTGTACTTTTGCACACTGGTTCTAAACTATGAAGAATATAATTTTAGTGATACAACGAATAATGCATTGGCTTAGGCTATAGATTGGTTATAATCAGATTCAGTCTTCAATTTTTCAAAAAAGGGCCAATTTGAAAACTGCAAAAAATTCTAAATGGCAGAATTTGAAGCTGGTCAAATCCTAGGCTAATGTTTGCTATTTTTGGTCATAATCACTGCTAATTTCTTCCAGTTTTTTCCTAGGAATGACTACTTTTGAATTTGCTTGTGTTTAACCTAATGATGCAAAATGGCTACCAAATTCTAAGATTCTAACCTTGTGCTTCATCATGCTCCATGATTTGAGGCAGGACATTTGGGTTTTCAGCATGTGTAATCTTGGTTTGAGCTCTTTTATTTTATTTGTTTTTTCAGGCTCTTAACAATCTTGGAAGTGTGTATGCTGATTGCGGGAAATTGGACTTAGCAGCCGATTGCTACATTAATGCCCTTAAAATCCGACACACGAGAGCACATCAAGGACTTGCACGAGTCCATTTTCTCAGAAATGTTAAGGCTGCAGCATACGAGGAAATGACTAAACTGATCGGAACAGCTAAAAATAATGCATCCGCCTATGAGAAAAGGTCTGAATATTGTGACGGTGACCGTGACCTCACAAAGGCAGATCTGGAGATGGTCACTCTATTAGATCCACTCCGGGTGTATCCTTACCGCTATCGAGCTGCAGGTCACAGTATGTCTATTTTTGTTAATAAAAATTTTCGTTTACCTGATATTAAAGGCTGTCTTGCTTGTGTTCGAACAGTGTTAATGGATAGCTACAAGGAGAAGGAAGCCATTGCTGAACTATCTAGGGCTATTGCATTTAAAGCAGATCTTCACCTTCTACACCTACGGGCTGCCTTCCATGAGCATGTTGGGGATGTCTTGAGTGCCCTTCGAGATTGTCGTGCTGCTCTCTCTCTAGACCCAAAGCATCAAGAAATGTTGGAACTACACAGCCGTGTAAACAGCCATGAACCATAAATCTCATTTTTTTTATTGGGTTAAAAATGTAAAAGAAGGGAAAAAAAAAGGGGAAATTATAAATGATAAAATGGAGAAAAAAAATGTAAACAAAAGGGTAACCGTGTATACTAGCAAGTGTGTGCAGGTGGCATCACCCATGTTCCTGTAATTTATCCTGTAAGATATATTATGATAAGGAATTGCTCAAGAGGAAAACCCAAGTAATTGCATATGCCAGGATATACAACCACCACCTGAGTTCAAAACGCCTGTGTAGAAGATTGTTCCTGAACTTTCAAGTCTACGCCTCATGCTAAATTACCCCCCTCCATTGCAAAAAGCTCAATTGGAGAGATCCATCTGCCAGTATTTGACAATATTTTACCGAGGGCATTTTTATCGCAAGATAATCAGCATACCTTGCAGTCATCACTTTAGCATGGCGGAGTATCACTTACTAAATTCTACAATAGCATCCATCATGATTTAATGGCAATGGTTCTCAGCATCCTATGTTGCAAGGAGCCGGTACTGCAGTGCAGGGACGGCAGTCCAATCCGTCTTTAGCAGATTTTGATCCTTGATCATAATCAATTTTTTTTTTTTTTTTAAGTTGGGGTTCCGAATTGGGTCAAAAAAATAGTTAAAAAATCATAATCGGATATATATATTATTTTTTAAAATTATTTATTTAATTTTATATTTATATTAAAAATAATATTTATATTAAAAATAATATTTTATTAATTTTTAATCGAATTAAATTTAATTTTATATAATGTTATATTGAATTTGAATATTAAAAAATAAAAAAATTATCAGGTTGGGTACGGTATATGCAAAAGCCTATTTCCCCCTACTCCTACTGGTTGCCACGCCTTGGTGGCAGGAACTGAAATTTCACGATGAGCACAACTTCCAATCTTTCCATCATATTGATACTTTCAATTTTCTTGGCCAACGTGTATCAAGTAACAACGTGGTCAATCTGAAGTAAAACATAACTACATATCTTCCATGTTTTAGACAATAGCGAGAAAGGTACTCTCCAAGAACAATCTTTTTAACTTTGAGAAAAATGGTTGACCCTTGTGTGTACTTCTTCTAACTCTTGCGAGGTAGGAAATAAGGATGCCTCAAAGCATCAGCAACACAATCAAATCATCCTACAAAATACAAAAAATGCATTTCAAGCCCAAAAACATCATATTTACAATCAATTGTATACAACTCTTTTGTCAATAAACTAGTATTGAGAAACAAGTTAAAAGATAAATTGCACTAAAATTTTCCATTTTATAAGATACATTGCCACTTCATTTGTCATCCAGAGTCTGGACATGTACTCCATCAAACATCGTACCCGTTCAAGGAAGATATATAAAAGCATATGATGCTCAGAAACTGCCATCACTATCGAAAGACATTTCTCTAAAGAAGGTTGTAAGCACCACTCAACTACCTTGGCTAAAAATAACCATATCCTATTAGTATAATTTAAAACGATCGCATAAGAATATTAGAAAGAAATAATATGCATTTACAGATGAGATTATAGTTATCGAGAAATTTTTTTTTTTTTTATAAATCTCAGAACCATGAAACCGGCATTTATATGCTTGCGAAGATAAACAGATAGTGGAAAGTATTAGGCAAATGATACCATATACTAGTTTATTAACATAATATAATAACATCCAAAAAAGTAGACAAGATCATTAGGCTAATTAAACAAAATTCTTTTACTTATGGTTGGTACAACCTTCCAAGAAGGATGGACTCCTCGTGCTGCCAATATGCCAATTATCAAGTGGATGAATCCAACAAATCATAGTTGTATCCTTACAAAGTAATAGCAGTAAAATTATACATCACTGCCATATTCCCTCCCACCCCCAATCCACCCCGCTGGCAGTTTATATATCAAGAGCAATGACATTCACATGCACAGCTCTCATCCCAACCCCAACCCCCTGACGTTCAGCCCACGCCATAGAACCATACTCCTAACCCTACACCCACAAGAATAAATAATAATGGTTGATCTTAACATGATAGCGACTAGTTAAAAACAATGCACCAAATGCAAGGTAGAATTTACTTATGTAGAATGTGTCACTAATTTGTCAACAGGAAATTCAATATGTATAATAACAATTACCCAAATATAATAATAATCTAAGCCAATGGGACCAAAAAGTAAAGCTTGGACCCAGCAAAGGCAGTCGATCAATGTCTTAAAAAATATCCAAAGTTTCAATTCTTGACCATCTTTTTTTGTATTCTATTAATTGAATTTTGTTTAATTAAGACTGAGTTTCGTAAAAACCCCTCCTTCTTTAAAATATCATGAACCTATAGGTTAGGAGTGTAAATGATATATTAATATTCGCAAGTTACTCGGATTTGATTCAAAAAAAACTTGAATTCGGTTCGATTATTGTCGAGTCGAACTCGAGCTCGAGTAGCTCGACTTATCGATCGAACCGAATTCGAATATTCTTATATCTGACTCGAGTAGTTCGCGAGTCTAATCAAACTTTTATATTTAAATATATTTTTATTATTTTAATTAATAAAATATTTTGAATCTGAGTCCGAGTTCGAATTCGAGCATGAATAATCGAGCTCTTGTCGAATATACGAATCGAGCTTATTTTTACATATTAATCGAGCGAGTTCGAGTAGCTCGAATTCGATCACGAATCGAGTTCGAACTTGAAAAATAAAACTCGATCGAGCTCGAGCCGAGTATCGAACCTCGAGTTGTGAGTCGAGCTCGAGGTCGAACTTCTCATTATTCGGCTCGGCTCGTTTACACTCCTACTATAAGCTAAGTTCCTTTTTTAAGGAAATAAAAAATAGCGAGAATACTTAAATAGGTTTAATTATTTATGGATCATAAAAACTCACTTTTTTTAATCAAATATCAATTACGATAACGATTTATTAGAATATATATAGTTAAATAAGAAGTTTTTTCAAAAATAAAATCATGTATCTGTAGAATTATAATGCATATAATTAGAATGTCAAAAAATCTATAAACCCAACAAATCAATTAGACAAATCAAATAACTCTCGTACTCTCATAACTCAAGTCAAATAACTCTCAAAATGCTCAAAAAAAAATCCTTAGGCATTCTTTTATTGAGTGGTCTCTAACCCCTTTTTTTGTTTGTCTCGTTTAGAATCGATTTCGATTCTTCATTTTGATCCAGTTGTTGAGACAATTGAAAAGGGTATTCAAACAAGGCATTGACATCCTCACCAGGTTTTATATCCCTGTGGGTAATATTACGATCATGACAGGACTTCAGTGCTACCAACTGAGGAAATGAGAAGAGAAGCATAAATGAAGACAGGGTTAAAACAAGATAACAAAAGAAAATATTGTATAGTGGAGGAGGGACATAATTGGTAGATGAGAAACTTCTGGAAGAAAACAAATATAAGCCACAATTTCTACCAAGTTAAGATTTGAAACAAGTTATATTAAAGCTTGAGTTACAAATACAAAGCACTGTTCACTAAGTCGAGCCAGGAATTGAGGATCAGGAGTTTAAAATGAATAAAAGGTTTCTAGTACCATATGACTTGACAAAGTTTGTGACGACAGAAAGAGAGAAAGAAACTTACCAGTTACTCCCCATTTTATTAAATGAAAGAAAAAGAAACAGAAAGACAGCTTAAATTTAGAGGTTAAAGTGACTATTCCTTTATCCCTAACATTAGTTCATTTCAGGGGAATTTTTGAAGGATTTCGAATGAATGATAACACTTTTAACTTGGTGGGTTATCAATAACAAAATCATTATAGTTTAGAACTTAAATCTGAAATCAGCCACTTACTATATGCATCAAACAAGCTGTAAGGCTAAAAAATGACGAACATATGCTTCAACCATTTCATACACAATTCAATGAGTTAATGTGTAATTAAACATGCATACCAACTTCAAAAAAGAAGCAAATTGAACAATTAAACAGTATTAATAAGATATGAACAACAATACATTCTAGTGGCAAAATTCTTATCCATACTTGAAATTCTTCTCAAATATCTCCCAGTCTCCTAGTCCTCGAAGCATATAACCATGTTCTCTTCCAATAAGTAATATGAAAAGCATACCAATTAGCACATTGAATAATTTTCTAAAAGTTAGATAGGAAAACTAAAGAAACAAAGGAATCATTATATATCATTTTATTCCTATGACTTGCAGATACGGATATAGAACGTTTGATACGGTAAATCCTAAAACTTTATGATGGTATTCAACATTTCAACCACGACCAAATCTTTTCTTTAGTACATACCTGATAAAAGAAAAGTACAAGAGTGTCATCATGGTAAAATGATAATAAAGAACCGCCACTTTTCTTTCCTTTTTTTAACCCTTTCTTTTCTGATTGTAGAAACCCCAATCACTGTAAACATAAAAAATTGCACTTAAGTTCAAAGTTATCTATTGTTTGGATTAAAGAGAATAAAATTTGATCTCTAGGGGATTTTCGAGGAAACTCAAAGGGTCCTTAGAGCAATATGCCAAAAAGAGATTCCAATTTCCTCCACTTATGTTCTCCTAAAACTTTTAGGGAACATTCGGTACCCATTGTCCTCGCAGATGGAGAAATCTAGTGATCCTACCAGTACTGATTTTCTATCAACCTGTTAGGAACAAAATATGAAGATCAGGCTATTATCCTTAAAAAAATTCCATACCTTCTTTTAATGAAAAAAAGTCTCTAAATTGATGTAAACCCATATGTACGTATATGTGAATAAAAATAAATAAATGACAATATGTATGCGCGTATATATGAATATAAACATGTAAATATCTATTCTTTTATATTACGTGTATTTACATTAATTAAGGGTAATTTTGTCCAAAAGCCACTGCCAATGAGGTGATTTAACATTATTAAAATTTTGGAGGTGATGATGCATCTAAAGTCATTGATGGATGCAGAAGATCACAAAGGTAAAGCCAAATGGGGGAGGAATAGACCTCGAGTCTGGCACTGGATAATCCTCTGCCCCTTAACTTGAATTAGTATTATGGAAGGGTATGGATTCAAGCAAACCGAGGGAACTTGCGAAGCCCTTGATTTACACATTGATCATTAGTTCCCTCAACAGTCATCCCAAAGTTTAAGCATAAACTCCGATCATTGTAAGCATTTTTAGAGGTCCACCTAACAAAAGGTTTAAAGAAATAAAAAGTTTCTCCTACTGCAATATTGCACTATTACTATAAG